CACGATTTTTGCACGGAGGGGAGCACCAAAACAGCACGATTTAGAGCACGATTTTTGCACGGAGGGGAGCACCAAAACAGCACGATTTTTAGAGCACGATTTTTGCACGGAGGAGAGCACCAAATAGCACGATCTAGAGCATGATTTTTGCACGGAGGGGAGCACCAAATAGCACGATCTAGAGCACGATCTATAGCACGATTTTTGCACGGAGGAGAACACCAAAGAGCACGATCTAGAGCATGATTTTTGCACGGAGGGGAGCACCAAAACAGCACGATTTAGAGCACGATTTTTGCACGGAGGGGAGCACCAAAACAGCACGATTTAGAGCACGATTTTTGCACGGAGGGGAGCACCAAAACAGCACGATTTAGAGCACGATTTTTGCACGGAGGGGAGCACCTTTCAAAACAGCACGATTTAGAGCACGATTTTTGCACGGAGGGGAGCACCAACACAGCACGATTTAGAGCACGATTTTTGCACGGAGGGGAGCACCAAATAGCACGATCTAGGGCACGATTTTTGCACGGAGGAGAACACCAAAGAGCACGATCTAGAGCACGATTTTTGCACGGAGGGGAGAGCACCAAAACAGCACGATTTAGAGCACGATTTCTGCACGGAGGGGAGCACCAAATAGCACGATCTAGAGCACGATCTATAGCACGATTTTTGCACGGAGGAGAACACCAAAGAGCACGATCTAGAGCATGATTTTTGCACGGAGGGGAGCACCAAAACAGCACGATTTAGAGCACGATTTTTGCACGGAGGGGAGCACCAAGACAGCACGATTTTTAGAGCACGATTTTTGCACGGAGGGGAGCACCAAAACAGCACAATGTAGAGCAGGATTTTTGCACGGAGGGGAGCACCAAAACAGCACGATATAGAGCACAATTCTTGCACGAAAAAAATTGGAAAAATGCATGAAATTCCTTGTGCTCCTTTTGAAGAGGTTTTCACAGAAAATCAATTTTCCGACTGTTACAGAGGTTAGGCTACACCCAATATATATATATGATTATAATAAATTTTAAAAAAAACGCGCGTATCGCCTTTTCAACTATAGTTATGCACTGGCAGTGGCAGATGCTGTTGTTGTTTTTCCAAAAACTAAGTAAGTATGCAAAATTATAGATATAGTAATAGCTACAAGCACTGCATTAGTTCTTATAGGACAAAACGTAATAATGTGGGTAAAACAATAATCAACCACCCATTTGGGAATGGTAACCATACAACCTTTGAAAATGGTGAAATTGGGGATGGTTTATGGCATTGTTTTACCCACATTAATATAACTATAACACACATATAACATAGTTAATTGTATAAAATATCCCATGTATACCATTTAGTTGTATATATTGTAGCTTTTACTATCTTATAACGAATGGAATATAAATGTAACTAAATTTTAGTGGGATATAGTTACATTTACAAATGGGATAACCACTATAAATGGGATCTTACAGAAAAAATATCCCTTGTAATATAACTATTAATAGCCTCTGGTAAACAAACAGTTCGCTATTGAACATGGCCCAGTCGAAATAGTTGATTTACCCAGCTATAAAATGGTGATTTTTCCATAGTTTTTTGTATGTTTACCAGAGGGTAACCCAATATTTTCCCATTATCCATACATCTTTAGTAGGTAAATCAACTATAAATGGTCATTTTCCATAGCTTTTTGTATGTTTACCGGTAGACCTCCGTAAATGTTGTTAGTTTACCAGAGGGTATCCCATTGATAAATGACCCATAACCCCACCAGTTACCATGGTAGATGGTCACAGGTCATGGGAGGAAACGCTTCAACCGCCATCGGTCCTGAGACCTGGACCGGGACCGTAGCTCGGCGTTTTGGATGGAGAAAATGGGTCGAATTCACCAGAAAAACATCGAAAAAACCCGGAAAACGCTGAGAGTTCAGATGGTTTCGCTGGTGAAAAGTTGGACTTCATGAATTTCATGGGCGAAGAGTTGGGAGTTTGCATGATTTCGTCAGCCACATGAGGATTTCACATGATTTAATCAGCCAACATGAAGATTTTGTTTCAATAGAGCAGTTTTTTTGTTTAAAGATTTGTTTCGTCGATTTCCGCGGGCGAGAGAGATTTAGCATTGCCATGAAAAACTAGGGATTTGAAGGATGAATAATGGACATGAACATCGGGATCAATCACTACAAGGATTCAGCAAAACAAATTTGATTTAGCCCTAGAATAGTTGGTGGTGAGATAGAACCAGAATGGGGACATTATGGGGTTATAGTGGGATAGACTGGGATATTGTGTCATATTCAGTTATTATATCATGTTTCTTTTATCCATCCACTATGAAAAACAAACGTTGACACTATACATTGACACTGAGCTAGTTTGCTGATGTGCTGTTCCTGGCCCGGCTCGCCTTATTGGCTTCAATATGCTTCAATGCTTCTCGAGCATGTGTGAATAGGTTGAAGGGATTGATAATCATGGTTCCTAATTCACCCAGTTATAATCAGTTGCATAATGTTAGTGATATATATATATATATATATACATACATATATGGAGGGAATATGTCGGTTAGATGAGCAGCGTGAAAAGACCCAGTTGGTTGATGCCCCCACTAACAAACAATTTTACAGGATTTGCCAAAAGGCCTTCTGCGCATATGGCTAATGGGCAGTGTGTTTACAAGGGATTGAGATGAGGCAAGGGGTCAATTTAGTTTTACATGGCTTGCTCGCCATTTTTTGTAGTTGAAATGATATATATATATATATATATATACACAGTATATAGGATATATAGTGGGTCAACCTTGGTTAGATGCTTTATATAGTATTTTGATCTTCCGCTATCAATGGTAAAATGTACTAGCTAGCGAATAATATTTGTTTGGCATGTATTTAAGATTCACCACATGATTTTTAATATATTATTTATTTATATTTATTTACAATATATATATATACATATAAACATATATATGCATATATATATATACACATATATATATATATATATATACGTATATACATATATATATATTTACACATATATATGTATATATATACATATGTATATATATATACATATATATATTTATTTATTTATTTATACACAGATACAGATATATTTATATATATATATACGTATTAATTACATACACATATATTCACATATATATATATAGACAGATAGATAGATAGATAGAGGATTTCCCAGTTGTACATGGGCGTGTTCGCCATTTTGAGACCGTCTCGGTTCGACATCTCCGCGCCGAGGTTCTTCCCTTCCTGATTGATGCAGCGCGACAGGGGGCTAAGTGGCGACCTTAGCAGCAAAATCGTCATGACAATTGACGGGAAATTGATAGATCTAATGAGATGCAATTATCCAATATATACAATGTGGGGCCCCCCAGTTTTAAGATTGTTTTTAAACTCCCATTAACTATAGTTATAGGTACCATAAACCATAGCTATTGGAGTTTTGTGCGCCAACTTACTGTAGCTATCGTAAACGGGGGCCCCACTATGTTTTTGGTGGTTGTCGACCATCGATTATCGATGAATTGGAATACAGCAGATTCATCTAATGACCCCAACAATCACAGAGATATATCTAGAATAGGTTTTTACATACTTATATACCCTCTGGTTATTTAACATAGCCATGGAAAATGGTCCTGTGAACTGGTAGAAGATGATGGTGCAACCGAAAGATCAAACGAATGCTGGAGCGACACCGCCGCCTCCAAACGACATGTGCTTTTCCAAGAAGCGAAATCCGTGGGCCTAGAGCCGCAAATCCACGGCACCTGTACTGTTGAACGTTTAAAGTTCACCTTGAGACAGAAATGAGATAATTGGAGGTTTCGCAGCATGTCCCACCAGGTTTGTACATCACTCTCTACTTGGATGGGAATGCCTGCTGATTGAAATTGAGTTGGGACCCAGCGCATCATCGTGGGATCTTCGAAAACAACTTCCCAACCGGCAGCCTCAGCTAAAACAAAAGAAATAAATTGTTCAAGCACTGCCCTATCAATCATCAACTTCAACCTCTTCACAAGAAGAGCCTTTGGCCCCTCAACCCAATAAATCAAGCCAGAAAAAGGTTTGCAAGTCATCAGAAAAGCTATCGGGAACTATGCCTCTCACAGCATCATTGCGCAAAGTTTCGCTGGACAATGGTTCAGCCAGTAACTCGTGCACCTCCACCCCAATGCCTGCAAGACAAAGACGCCGTGCATGCTCTGGAGGTCGAAGTTGTCCTCGATGTCGTTTCCACCTGGACAGGATTTGAGCTGCACGTTTTCCAACATGTAGATGACAAAGGTTTTCAGCCAAACATTCCTTACATAGAGAGTCGATCTGCGGATGGTCATCACCTACATATTCACCATGTGAAGCATGTGGATCACCTCCATGTACTCTATCATGTAGTTCATGTGGTTCCATGTTGATACTGCTATCTTCCATGTAATCGCCAAACCCCTGGGAAGTTATGTCCCATGCATGAGCACCACAATGAAACCCATCCCCGATGGCTGGAAAAGACGTCCAGCATGAAGGGACAGTCTCGGGCTCGTAGCAATCCATCATAGCCCTGCAAAACTCGTGGGTGTAGACACCTGCAACACATGTGTTTCGGCAAGCTTTTGGGGCATGCACATGATCACCTTGACAGTTACAGCGAAGATCACCATGAAATACTCCATGAGAATAGATCCATGTCGTGAGTTTTCGAAGATGGCTATCATCCGAAACACCTTGTGGGACAAACCCAAAAGTTTGTTTTTGGCCATGGCAGTCCAAACGTTGCCACATACTCCACTTGGTGCAAGGCGGCCCAATCCAAAGAAACCCTGGGCAGTGATACACAGTGTTGTAGTTCGCCACTTCCTCAGCATTGGTGGTCGGGTGAGGCGCATGAGCGTGCGAAGGAACTGCCCATGACCAAAGTTGCCAAAGCAATTATGACTTTGGCCGCCTAAGACTCCGCCTTCTTCTTGAAGTCACAGCACGTCTCATCTCGTGGCAGCTTCCGGGCTGCCTCATAGTCGCCACCATAGACGAACTGAAACTCCAGCGCCTCAGGACCACCATTGCCATAGGGCTCATCAACGACCGGGTCATACCCATTCCCATAGTGTGGAACCTTGCCCGCCTCATAGTTCGAAACCTTGCTATGCTCCGTCTCATAGGCCAGTGATGATTCCCCCACGCCCTCGAGGTCAATGCTCTCGCCATAGACATCCACATCCTCATAGTCGCTGGGTATTGGGCTGGTGGTTTTCACTGACTCCCAAACTTCCATCCCTCGGCACTGCGATCTTTGCAGCATCCTCCGCCATCTTGACAGTCTGCAGGATCTTGAGGCGCTCCTGCAACTCGTGAATCTCCTCCTCTGTGGACGTGGCCGTCCACCGAAGACACCATAGAGAAATCGTCGGACTCCTCCAAAGCCCTTGTCTTGGACTTTCGTGCAGGCGTGATGTTCTTCTCCTTGGGCTGTGTGCGAGGGCGAACATTGTGTGCCACAGGGGGTGGTTTGGTCTTGGCCGTCAGCTCTGGATCCTTCGAAGACTTGGCCCCATAGCCCTGGGAGCGGCCCACACCCTGCTTTTGGCCGTGCTCCACTCCGTAATGGCCCACTCCAGGTAGTCTTTCGGCACCTCCTTGTACAGGTAGTTCTTGTACTGCCCGAAGGTCACCTCGCTCTCCCCCGTGGTTTCCATGCTGTAGCGCAGCATCCTCATCAGAAGACCCTGCGTCGCCTTTGGTGGTATCTCCAATCCCTCCTCCTGTTTGTACATCTATGTATATATATAGTTATGTCCATTAAACATCCCATGATGTTGATTATGATGTCCATGTTAATGAAATCATTCCAATATATGTCAATCTATTCCCAAAGCTCCATAGTTCATATATTTCCCTATAACATTCCTATGAGTGTTGCTTAAATCCTTACTGGAAACATCATGTAGCTTGACTGTGGCTCGGGTCCGATGCTACGCCAGGCTGGTCCACGCAAGCTGGCCATTCAGGACATGGACAAAAAGTACAGTTTCTGGGCGCACAGATCTGCAGTTATAGCCTTTAATAGTTATAAGTGGGATTTTAATGATATATAACCTTAGCTATAGGAGTTAGTTAATCCCATTTAGCATTGTTAAGGCCATAACTGTGGGGTCACTGGGAATCTGATTTGGGAAAACAAACAACATTCATAACCAGTAACTATGTAGTGGATTTGTAGAAAAAAGTGCAGTTGATAGGCTAGGGGTGTCTAGGTAAAGTCTGCTTGATAGGGTAGGTAATCTATGATATGTATCCATTTGTAGATGGTTGTTCTGTTCGGAAAACGCAAGACTGTGTTTAACTGCCATGTTTGATTACCAGTTGTGATGAATAGCAGGCAGTAACACAATATCGTGTTGGGTTTTGCCTGAAGTATATTGCGTCGAGTAGTGTTTATTAGCTGTTTCATTCCCATTGGTTCCCATTGGTTTTGCGGGCGTGGGAAGCAGAACATAAGGAATCGGAGCATGAGGAATTTCAGCGAAGCATCCAATACTGATACAGGCATTTAAACACATTATGTTTTCCACTGTGTGCCGGATAGAAGTCTATGATGATGCCAAGTAGGATTTTAATGAAGAGCCAGAACTGAGAATTTGACGGAAGACATGTGTGTGATTTTGCAATGCGCAACTTGCGCTTACTGAATTCCTTTGCTTGGCGCAGGAGAACTTTCATTCAAGAAGCCAAAGACAGCACGGTTTCCCAGCTGCTCCTTGTTTCCCAGTGACTCTTTGTAATGCCAGCCCGGAACGGGGGGCACTACGTAAATCATACCGATGACCGTGACTGACAGCCGTTTACGGACATCCATGCAACCGGCTCATTTCTTGCTCTGCAGACCATTTGAGTACAATATATTGCAGGCCCATGAAACTCATACGGAATCAGTGAGTGTCATTGGGTGATCCATGCTCTTGGTTTCAAGCTTGAACACAACTCCTGCTGAGGAAATGCAATCGGTCGACAAATGTGATGCATATCGCCTGTATCCTTCATGCTACTCATATGCTGTTGTGGATTTGACAGCTTCGTGTCATTCACTAAAGAAGCCTTGGTGAGGAAATACCACCTATTGATAGATGCATTTGTTTCCATTCTCCTGCCATGGATTTGCCTCTCGAGTTGCCGGATATTCCAATGGGGCCGGACTCGCCAGACGATATTCCTTTGCATCTGCCAGAAATTCCTCATTTAGGTCATTGTGAATGTCTCGCTATGATCCACAAACCACTTGCGCGAGGCCTGGCACGCTGGTTATGTTCAGCGAATGATGCATTAGTCAGCACGACACATGATGGGTGTGAACATTGGATGGTTGTGCTGGATGATATCTTTGGTCGTCAAGAATCTTTTGCTAAGTACCTAGCAATTCGTCGTTTGCTTGTCATCAGTGATCTGGTTTCTCCGGCCCATCCATCGCTGAACTTCATTGGATGGGGCGCCGAAGAGTGGGCTGGGAAATTAGCTGCTCCATGGCCATGGCAGAAGAAGACAGAATCTAGTCCTGCATTCATTGCACTTCTGGTCAAAGCTGGAACACATTCCAGGCTTAACCTTGAGAACGGAATACCCTCCAACAGTTTTGTTCCTGCAAAAGTGAAGTGAAACCTTGGAGAGAGTCTCCGGTAGCATGCAGTTGTCATGTTGCGACAAGTAAATAGACAAGTCTTCATCAGCCTCGCCGCAAGCTGCTGATCGGCATCGATTTGTCTGAGGACTTATGCAAGACTTTGACAGATCTTATCCTTCCACTTGCGCAGCGTGTGATCAGCTGGCACCTGCCGGGATGGCAGGGTATCTTTTCCTTCTGCGATCTCCAGCATGTTTGCTGTGAGAAGCTGGTTCTGCACTCATGGGAGTTCACCGTATCATTCCATTTCATTTCTTGACAATTCTCTTCAACATTGTTGTATGTTTCGTTTGTTTCTTTTTCATATGGGGGAGAAGGAGCGAAGTAAGGATGGAAGGAGGAAACACGAGCAATACAAAATTCAGATCTATTTTGTCAATCTACTCATATCTATTTTTCTCATCCAGCCTTTTACGGGGCGCTGTGGCTTACCTTCGACTACTGCATGTTCAGCTCCCTGAGTTTACTTGTGGGTGATAGACCATTCAATGAAGACACATTATGTGTCTAGCGTATAAATGCGACACATAGTAAGGGTTGGACCTCCCACGTACGGATGTTCCTTAAACAACATGTGCAAGCATCTCCCATGGTCTTTCGAACATCTAAGGATGAGGAAGTGGATGGACCCGACATACGGGCGAAGAAGATCATTGCCGTCACTGGAGAGCTTTGCAGAATATCTGAGACTTGTGCGCCGGTTTGCTGATCTTCATGGATTGCGTTTGCCCAGTTCCATTCCTGCACTGAACGCAGACAATGTGCCCGCCAAAGATTTTCAGTTTCATGGTCTCACTGACCATCAAACTGTGTTTTTGTCGTTCTTGGAAGCAATGGTGATTCGGTTCACGAAGCTGTTCAAACCGTGTGTTGTTCCAATACTTTCACGCGCGGATGCTATTTTAAGTCATCCTAGCTGGTCCACCCGGAAGATCGGCCAATGGTGCCAATTCTTAGATCGGTCCTCCCTGATGGCCATTGATCGTTGCCAAGGATTACTGGACCATAGGGATCAGTTGCTATCGGCAATCGCATCAGTCACACTAGGAAGCTGTCCAAAGGTTGCTGCAAACATGTTACCGCCCGCTCAAATGCAGTGATGCTTTTGCGAAAGATTTGCAAAGCAAACTGTCGGATCTCTTACCTGAGGACATTATGTTTGCATATCCTCGCTCACTCATACACTTGATGCGAGACGAAGGGAAAATCCAAAAGCTCGTTTTTCTTTTAGTGTGGACATGCTTTCCTGCTGATGTCTCCAATGTTTAAGTCTCTAACGCGAGGCCAGGGATCAGCACAGCAAATGTTGAGACAAATATATGCAAATGCAACTATATGCATCAGTCAGGATCGCAGATTATGTCAGCCTGCCTGGCCGAGCTGTGCGATCCCAAACCAGATCCGGGATCGCGTGATGCTTCTTCAATCAATAGGGAGAAAGCAGGGCTTGGATTATGTTTTCTTTGAAAAAAACAGCTTTACAATCATGTACAGGTAGTGCGATCCTGGATCTGGTTAGGGATCGCAGATTCTGGCAGCCAGCCCTCCCCAACAGTGCGATCCTGAAGTGCTCATGAGTTCCCTATTTGAAAATTACTGTTGCTGAACTTGCACCGGTCGTGCCGGATTTCGCGTGCTGAATGAGAGGCTCAAGATTGGATTCAGACGCTGACCAGGGAGCTGTTTTTGCTTCCTACCGAAGCTGCCATCTAGGATTGGAAGCATGTCGACCTTCTTTGACCTGTGCCTCGATGTCACGAACGACATCTACGAACAGCACGTAGCCTGGATGAAGTGAGGATGTGTATGTGTACTTTTGAGTGAGAAGGGTTGACGAGCTTAGAAGCATCTTATCCTGCATGATCACAGAGACAGCCCATGGATAGGTGGGCTTATCATCTTTTGTTCATACTCGCAATGTCCATGCTCTTCTGCATCATTTATGCAGGTTGGTGAGGAACGTTTGGGCGAAAAGGCCTTCAAACATTGGGCGCGAGATGTGGAGGCCGCTATGTCCCAGAGCCATGTATCAGACTGTTTTGTGGCCCCTGCTGCAAGCCGAGTGAATGCCTACAGATCACGTATTTTTTCATAAGCCATATATTTGTAGACCAGTGATGTCCGGTACAGCTGTCCTCGTCACTGAAGCATCATGCCGTCCACTCACCATGTGACTATGCAATTCCATGATCAACCGCAACAGAACAAGATTCCTTTTGCTTCACTCAAGGCCATGAAGAAGGCTTTTCCTTACCTCTCCGAGCAGGGGATTGGGTACACTGGATATCGCAGTGGCGAATCCGGATGGGGGGACAAATCCTTGCCCAGGACTGGACACATACACGTGTCGCAGCTCTCGCTGGGGGAGGAGCATTTCCCTGCACTGCGACCCATACAAGATGAGTGTGACAGCGGCCCTTGAGGACATTGTCCTTAGAGAGGACCTTCCAACCATTCAGGTCTGCAAGCTGGGCAAGTCGGGGCTGTGCACAGATGGTCCATACAGCTCTGCAGTGCTTGGGCTTGCTGTGGGGATCCTCGCAGTGGCAAGCATAGCGGCAGTGGACGACTTGCCTCTCCACGTGCAGCGCTTCTTGGGGGCAATCCGCGTCTCAGCACAGCCAGACATTGGGGGGAAGGACAGACTTCTCCGGTGTATCTCATCTGCACCCATGACATGATTCATCTTATGAGGCCTTTGCTCTTAATGGGCTGCATATGTGTCCAGTCCTGGGCAAGGATTTGTCCCCCCATCCGGATTCGCCACTACAATATCCAGTCAATCCAATCCCCTGCTCTGAGAGCGGGGTCAATGCTAGATAGATCACATTGCTAGATAGATTACACTGGATGTTGCTTCTGCAGGACATAGAAATGAATCTGCATGGCGGTGGTAGCCTAGCAAAGCAAAAACACTCAAACCATTCTTGTGCGACCAAAGTTAATGAGAATTCACAATGGCCTCCAAGTCATTGAATGGGTGAACGTTTAGCAAACCATTGGCAAGTGACTAGCGGACCCATGCTACTTGGCCTAGGCATCGCGTCCACGCAGCTGAAGCGACGACAGAACTTGAGCGTGGACCCTTTCATGCTCACAAGCTTCTTCGAGAAGATGATCGCACCAGACCTTGGCCAGAAAGATGATAGCCAAGTCTCCAAGATCTTGAAGGGGGTCATTGAGAAGTACAACCAGCAACTTGCCTGTATTCATTGGCTTTCATTGTTGCTGTGCGATTAGCTCAACGCGTTGGGGTTGGGAGTGTTCTTCAGCCACTGTGCACAGTACACATTGCAGTATTTGTTTTCGATGATGCAAGTGGATGAAGATGACACATGCTTTCTCCCCACAGCAGTCATCCTTTTCTCACAACCGTGGCCCACATCTCAGGCAATGCATATTCGAACCTTTGAACCGTTTGGACGGGAAGCTGGAGACGATTGTCGTTCGCCTACTATGCCCAACGAGTTTCCCAAAAGCGGTTCTGGGTAAGCTCAGAGAGGACGTGAGTCGGAGTCGAAGTTTCTCCTCAAGTCCATTCCCGTTGAATTTATTGGCCTTCCAAGGGCTTTGGGTTGGAGGTGCAGTTCGCGCCTCGTCACATCCAGACTGGCAGAAGATCCTGGTCGCCACGGTTGATTCGCTTGAGTTGACCAGGCAGCACTGTGTGGAAGTTTTCTCACAGAGCGGGAAGCCAATCAATGTATCGGAAGCCCTCAGCTTCTGCAAACGCAACCTGGTTGGACAATTCGGTGATTTCTGTGTTTGCATATTCGGCTGCACCATGTCTGTACCCGGCAGATTTTGATTGAATATGTTGACGCAGTTCAAACCTCTATTTGGATTCCAGCGCTCCACATGATAATCGTGCAGAGTTCATCCACATGGAATTTAGAGGCTATAGTGTGGGGAGGTTTGGCTATGATTCCCTGCATGTGGAGTGCGTCTGTCAAGTGCATGTTCTGACTTGCATTTTTTGTTTTTGCATCTTTGTTGCGTTCTTTCTTTGTCTTGTTTGAGATTTTCCTTTTGTCCTTTCATTGTTTGAGTCTCTCTGACTCTCTCCCTCTCCCTTTGCCTGTCCCTGTCCTTGCCTCTCTCTCTCTCTCTCTGGCTCTCTCTTGCTCTCTCTCTCTCAATGACTGACCTCTTCCTTGCCTCTCTTCTTCTTTGCACTGGTGACTGAACATCTTGCCCCAGCGCGCCGTTGAGGTGTGACTGTGGCAATCAACGTGCGTGAGCACGCGCTTACAGCAGTGTCGGAAGATGCAAAGAAGAAGTGGCTGGAGGAAGTGTGCAATGGAGCCCACTCGACATCCATCGACCGGCTGCTCAGCCAACCCCTCGCAGAGGACTTCAAGCTGCAAGATGCTGCCAAGTTCTTTTCCCATGCGTTGCCAGGTGCTACTGCTATAAGAAGCCGTATACGCAGAGTTTAGTTCGGCTAAAAGAGTATGATTAGCTGAAGTCTATACATTTTGTCCTGGGCTATTATCAATCTGTTCGTCTTCAGATCTATATATATATATTCTTGATTGATATATCATATATCTATATTTTCCCGTTTCTTGTCCTTATATTTTTGTCGTCCAATTTCTTCAATCTCAAGTTCAAACCCATGGATAGGTTGCTATAGGGCAAATCCTTGCCAAAACAAAAAATCTCCATTCCATGCAGGTGTTCGTGCGGTGCTGACAACCGCGACTTTGTCCGTGGGATCTTCGCTGAGCAATGATCTTGCGAAGCAAAACGCGGCAGAGCATTACTACGCCCTTCTGGAGGACGAGGAAAAGAGATGGAAGCAGCGGTTTGCAGAAATGACGGTGAAGGTTTCCTCGTGTGAAGAGCAGAATTTGCTTACCTGTCCAGGCACCGTTCCTTTAGTTGATTGACACTGCACTTTGTCAACCCCAAACCGGTTTTCCCTTGAGGTCCACGGGCCTCCATATAGAGCGACCTCAACTCCGGCACCGTCATTTTTGGGTCGTACTTCACATCCATGTCGACCAGGGCTTCTAAAAGCTCCGCACGCCGCATTTTCCATGCCGAGGCAGGCTGGGACATCACCTGGGCTTGGGCTCCCAGGTGAACGTGATTGAAGTGCTCCAGCTACTTGAGGCCTAAGAAAACGGCTTCGTCCAATCCAAAGGTGTTGTCCTCTGACCTTGACCTCAAACCTCCAAGCATTTGACATCATGAACGGCTTTCCAAATGAGGTGCAGGGAATGCATGTGCTCGTGCGTGTATCACCAAGAGAAAGGAGAAGGCATTCTTTCAAACCACCATCACTTGTTTGCAAATCTCGAGGGTCAAAAGGATCTCTTCTGGGAATGACATGAATGCGGTCAATGTAGAAGTCACCCTCAATCCAAAAATCCCTCAAAAAATTGTTTTCGCGCCACCAACCCTGAAACCATTCTGGGCAAAGATGTTCAGCAGATAGGTTGTAGATAACCAAAGGATCCATCTTCTTGGGGTAGAACAACCTCTTGGGGGCTTCCACAACATCACCCGCATGACGCACCATGTATGCCACCTTCTCGGACGGTACAAAGATCTCGACTAGGTCCCACTTGATGCCATTTGGCCATCGTAGGGCAGGGCTGGAGCTGGAAGCGACCGACACAGCAGGGAGGCCGGTCAAAGTGGTTTGCAAAGGCACATCAGTCGAATTGAGTGCTCCAAGGACGCCATGTTGGCTGGCAAATCATATCGCATGCCCAACTGAGCCAATGCTGGGCGGCTCAAAAGCAGAGGCACATCGGTGTCCAATTCAGACACCTTCAAAATAAACCACTTTCCACATATGTTCAGACAAAAACACCAAGCTTTCGTTGACAGAAACAGTTTGAGTCCACCAAACTTGAAATGCTCATGCTGTGGGACTACTTCAAAGTGATGGCCTTTGGCCAATGCATTCTCACGAAGGCGCCTAATCCACTCACTTCCAGCCACAGATCGGCTGCAGGCACTGTCGGTGATCGCAACAATCTCGGCAGTCTCAATGCGGCCAGCATAGAAGACCTCAGACCTGAGCAGGTTGTGCAGGACCTTTGTTGCCCTTGTAAAGTGGACACTCTGGATCTCGATGCCAATGGCCTCGACGCTTACATGCTGAGCAATATGAACGGGCTTTGGCCTGCTTGCTTCGATCCTCTTTGCTGGTCTGGTTCGTCGCAGTACCCCGAGATTTGAGCAGCGCCTGGCATTTGGACTTGGCATTCTGAAAGGTGACATAGGCCTCCTGGGTCTCCTCGTCGCTTTCAGGGAACATCTCATCTTCACCTTCAGACATGTCGCCCTCGTCATCCTCCTCTGCCTCCGCATTCTCAGTGACATGAGCATGGTGTGAACCCTTTTTGTCCTTATCCCCGTACTTTCGAGGTTCCCAAAGACGATGGTTCATGCGATCTTGGATCACAGCAGCATCTTGGAGCTTGGAGAGTTCATACTTGTTTCCAGTAGAAGACAAGAGGTTGAGTTCCGCCCCATTCTCAAGGCGAAGCTTGTCCACATAGAGCCAGGCCAAGCACAAGTCAGGGAGGTTGCAACCAACTTCTTTAAGACGTGAGACCTGCCTGTCATACTCCTGGTTGAAGTCGCGAATCTCCTGGCCATACCCCTTCTTGAGATGCTTGAAGAACTCCAGCATACATTTACCAACCTTGACAACCTCCTTGTCCAGGTACTTCTCGGATACCCATTGAGTGAAGACATCAACCCCGTTCCCACTAATTATCCAACAAGGCTAAGTCAAGCTCCTCGGCGTCCCTCCATGCCCTGCCAGTGAGGTTGTTATACAAGGCCAGTGCCTGTTTGTTTGGTCTCAACCTTGTCATTCTCCTCCAAGCTGCCACCTTGCGAAGATAGCCACAGGTCACCATGCCATCTTTGTCATCTTCACCTGAGAATTCAGGCACGCTGATTTTGTCACTACCCCCCATACGGTCATCTTCACGATTTGCGCTGGCTCCCCAAGGATCACCCTGGGACACGGCTAGCTGATCCATCACCACCGGAAGGGGTAGCAGTGGCATGCGGCTGATACGGCGCCCTTGGAAGGGTTGCCAATTTTGAGATGTGCCATTTACGATCCCTTGGAAGGGTTGCAAATTTCAAAAATGATGCTTGCGGAAATGGGGGTATAGGATTTGATTTTTTGAGTTTTAACATGTTGCACATGCTGTCGTATGATCATTAGGGGGGGTGGGGGTTGGGGGGGTGTATTAACGTCCCTGACGAGCACTCCCTTTACGTTACGAAAGATGCAAAAGTTGCACATGCTGTCAGTTGTGTCAAAGATTATCCCCGCAAAAGGTTCAAGTTGGCCCAAGTCAACCACAAACAAAATATCTTTACTAAGGCTAAGACTTATCATTTTCGAGGTCGTTTGTGGGATAAATCCTATAGAGCCATTGTTGCTGGTACCCAACAAGTGGATGGAACATGGAAACACTTGAAAAAATGGCGACCTCCGTCGATGCCCCACAAAAAAAAAACAAAACGTGTACAAAGAAAGGTACACTTGGGCCTACAGCTGGACATGGCGTCACAACGCTGCCTTGTTGCAGACTGTGGCTTCTGCATTGCCACAAGCGCTCTGGCACCGCTAGCGTCGAGAAGAGGAAAAAACTGGAAGAGTGAATGTCGCCATATGTCGCCCTGATATGATTCGGATGATTGAAAATCATAAATTTCTAATGTTTTTTTCTTGACCCTTCAAGAGCAAAATCGAGTCACCGCGCAGGCGAAACGCACATTTTCACTCTTGAGTCACACGCCTGCCAATCGAAATGAATGTCCATGTTGCAAACATTTTTTGACGACTCCTGCAAATACCAGCATTTTGTCTCTTAGCCTCAAAAATCAGAATTTCAAATTCGTCACCCTTACAAGGGCGCCGAATCAACCGGTTGCCTAGTTGTTGGGGGGCCAAGAGTACCATGTTCTTCTCCTAGCCATCCATTCATCCCATTCTGCATCAGTCCATGTTCCAAATAATTATTATTGGTGACTTCCCGTTGCCCCTCATGAGTAGCATCCCAGAATTTGACGCACTGCTAGGGCCCCCATCACCACTTTCCTCAGCCATCCCCGAACCTAAAGGCGTTGGGGCAGGCATCGAAAGCAACTGCTAATGACGCACCACCAATCTCCACCACTTGCTGATGTGCTTCTTCTGGACCGTCCCGGGGTATTATCGAGCCCCCCGGGTGGCTCCGCTACCAATGTGAACTGGTAGAAGATGATGGTGCAACCGAAAGATCAAACGAATGCTGGAGCGACACCGCCGCCTCCAAACGACATGTGCTTTTCCAAGAAGCGAAATCCGTGGGCCTAGAGCCGCAAATCCACGGCACCTGTACTGTTGACAAGCATGTGTCAAGGTGAAGTTGGTTCATTCACAGGTCCATTTATAGATGATTTTCCCATTAAAACCTCCATTTATCAGGGATAGTCCATGGCTATGTTAAATAACCAGATGGTAATTACCCTCTGGTAAACATGGGGTGTTTTCAATAGCTATGTTAAATTACCTGAGGGTAATAGATATACAGTATCTACAATAGAATACAATATATACACTAGACATACAAGGTGGTGCCCCATTTCGGAATCGCTAAGTTGGTAAACATAACTCCAATTTCGCTATGGTTTTTGGTAGATATATTGACATACTTACTATGGTTTATAAACCAACTTATAACTGGGGGGGCACCACCTTGTGGTAATTCAACACAGCTATTGAAAATTGCCATTTATAGTTAATATACCTATGAAACATGGTGACTTTCCATAGCCATGTTAGTTTACTGAATGGTATAAATTGCTACAGTTAAGGCCCGAAATACCAATTATAAATGGGATCTAAGTGGGTTATCATGAACCATAAACGGGGTGACTTACTAACTTATATCTGGTAAAGGGCCTTAACTGTACAAATTGTAGGTGATAGGTGTTCATGGTTTATATGAATATATTCAAGTTGGACAAGCATCGAAGTGAAATTATGTTCCAGCCATGTTTGATTTCCAGAGGGTAAGGGGAAATTGAAATCGGAAACCCTGACAATTGGAAAAATGAATGGCTTCCTTTTGGTTTTCCCTTTAACCAACCAGCCGTGAGTAGCAACCATCACCCAGCTGCGTCGTTTCAAACGTCGTTTCGTTCCACTGGTCGTCGCCTGCAGGAAGGTCGTTTTGGACGGGAAGACCTTCGCACCCTTTGGGATGGTGCCGCATGCCGTGGAACCCGAGAAGGTGACGGTGGAAACCTTCGTTGTTTCGTCAAGTGGTTTTTACCATTTTTTGGGTCAAAATATGGTGGAGGGAGAGGCCCAAAATTCATCCAAAGTCCAGATTTGTTGGATAAGATGAGGAGGAGGAGGTTGAGGACCAGGAGGAGGAGGAGGAGGAGGATGATGATGATGATGAGCAGTGGCATGGAATGGGGTGCCCCAATGTTTCAAAAGTGTGCTTGTGTGTGTGTGTGTCTCAAACGGGGGAATCCCCCTCCCAAACTGATGACAATGCTTAACAGGAAAATTATGACGATAAACCATGGGAGGTTGGAGTACCAATTTTCAGACAAACCTATATAAAATTATATAAATACGTTCAGTATATGATTGAAATCATTTAAGTATGATTTTCGGGGGATGATGGTCCCTGACGACAAAGTTTGTTTTGAGGAATCATGTGCATCATCATGAAGGTTTCAGTGACAGCAAACAAGTAGGAATGGGATAGGGAAAGACTATCATGGATGGGGGGTTGAATGCCCAGCTGTAGCGACCACCAAAAATGATTTTTGGTTAAATATAATGTTAGACATGTTAGCACTTTATCAGCGCTGATGCATGCTAGCACGCACAAACATGTATGTATATATATATATACATATCATATTAATACATCTTGTTTATGTTTCGACATGTGTACCTTTTTCCACATGCACATGCTATCCGCCAGGGTGCTCGCGGTCAGGTGGCAGCGTATCGTCCCAAAGCGGGCTCCGGTCAGGTCCCAGCCAAGGTGGATCTCAGGATTCGCTGCCGCGGGCCATGTGCCATGGGGGCCATGGGTCGTTTGTCGGTCAAGTGGAGTGGAGTACATCACCCAGTTCTCGGGATGGGAATAACCCGCATATGCCACAAATATATATATATATATTTATTTATATATATATATGCTTATATAGCCAATCCATTTTCATAGGCTTCCAAATATATGTCCATCATCCAAAGTAATTACTGTTTATAGCTGAATCCAGCAACCAAGTATGGCGTTGACATGTTTGCAAGTCGAACCGGCTAGACTACACAGTTTGAGCTGCGACCTCCCAGCAACAAACCTGATACTACAAGAAAGTTAGGGCCAAGGGTTTGGAGTTTGGGCTTGAAGCAGCCTGCAGGAAGTATATGACGCATGTGTTTTGGCTGCAATCCAAGTCCAGACTTCATGATCGCATGGCTTTCATTCTTCCCATTTGCGATGACAAAGTGAGTACTCAAGTGACGGCCTCTGCCAACGTTGCTGGCTAAAACTCCCATTTATTGTTTGCTTAAGCCGCAACAAACCCACCCTTTGATATAAAATTCATGTCGACCGGGAAGAATCATGAAAAGCCAAATAAATCTCGTTGGGAAAGATTCCCCAGTTTCAGTTGGTAGGTTGGAAGATGTTCAAAACCTAATATATAATATTAAAAAAACATGTCAGATCGACATCTTGCACTGAAAAATCTTGAATCAGTTCTTTGGCAGCTTTTAGCCTTCATTTTGGCTGGGAAACTGCCAATTCTCTTGGATAAGCTCCCACTTTTCAAAAGTTTCGTTCACCATATCAAACATTCATTGCAGTTCTATGCCATTAGGAAACCACGTTTCTCAGATGCATGTTGGCTCCAATTTGCTTCGATAAATCCAGCTCCAATTTGCATGATGTGCGGTGCCGTTCTCAGGTTGAAGACCAATCCCAGACCAACAGCTGCTGTGCCAATGCTGTGGCAGGGGCCTACGAGTACATCAACAAGCGCTACGCCATGTCCAAGGGAGGTGCGGGCGAAACTCGGGATTTGGGCATGGGAAGTCCCACGGGATTCCCATTTGTGAAGTAGAAGCAGAATCCATCTCTGAGAAAAAGACTGGGAGTCTCCCAACAAGATGTGTTTTGTTCCAGACAACGGTTGACATAAAGCTCCGATTGAGGATGGTCTTATACAAGCCATTTCACTTAAAAAGGGTAATGGTTCATGGGTTTGGGATTTGCCACATGTGATTTCTTTCATGGGGCTTCTAGACTTGGATATGAGAATCTTAAGTGGTTGACCATGCTTAGTTCACCCAGGGAAACTGGGGTCTGGGGTATTACTGGCTTACTGGGAACTCGTATATAAAACTGGAATCTTCCAATGATTTTTGAGTTATTTCCATGCACAATGCATTTCGTGAGAGGATGGGGCTCCACCTTGAACCAGTCCCTGGGTAACACCCAGGTCATGCAGAAATTCGCTGAAACTTGCCTGACTGAAAATCACAACTTTTGGATGGATCATAAATCACCTTCTATTTTCTGGGAGAATAGTACATTACAAGGTGGAAGAGATTTGTTTTACTGTCACTATCTATCTATACCTAAGTATATATATATATACACATACATATAGCTCACTGCTGATTATATAATATCCCAGCTGAATTCGTACCACCCCAGCCTGTCATGAGGATCCCTGTTTTTGCTGCTTCACGTAGCAAAGAAAACGATTGGTTGTATTGTATCAAAATTTCATAGTTATATATCATATATACTTTTTTATCTGCGTGTGCCGTATACCTAGACCCTCCAAATAGCTTAAAAAACTGGAAACAAATACAATACTAGATTTATCAGGTACAACTCATCATTTTTATGGGTACTTGGAGGTTCTAGGTACATCAATATCCTGAGTTTGTTAGTTAATAAACCTGTTTGTTGGTTTCAACAATGACATTATCCCATTTATACATCCTGTTTCACTCGCCTTTAGCTTAGCTGAACTCTTCGAGAAGGCGATGGAGGGAGGGAGAGAGAGAGAGAGAGATTTCTACATCCTTACGCAGGAAACCATTGTTTGTCACATTAGTGTCACATTAAATATAGGTGGTTCGTTTCCTGCATTTCCTGTAAGCGTTCCTGTCAAGAAATTCTGGGATACCCCATGGCTGCCGCTCAGATCGAACAGATGACATCTCTCGACTCTTCATCTACTACGTTGGCCGCAAGAAGGATCAGTGACTCTCCTGAGTTGTGTCGTCGAAGGGAAAATCTGCAGGAAGGCCCTATAAAGACGATGGTTTTGCCGTAGATGTTCCCTTTAAAACTATCCATTGAACAGGGAAGCTGTGTTTTCGTTGATCCAAAGGTGTTTCTCCTATTTTCCTCCTTCAAATTACAAGGTAGAAATGATGCGCGCCATCAGGATCCCACGATTCTTATCTGTTATTTAACATAATTTTGAAGGATGATCCCGATCTATTCAAACTCTTGTAAATCTATCATAATAAATAATTTCTTATCTCTATATTGTAGAAATGATGCGCTCCATCAGGATACCACGATTCTTATCTGTTATTTACCATAATGTTTCTATAATTTTCTATATGTTTGATGATTCTTGTAGGTTCCCCGATGGGATTCACATACAACAAGATCTAGAAAACCTGGCTGGTTTTCCCAGGAAAACTATCGAAATAATGGTGGATTTTCTCCAGTTTCCACATCGAACTGTTACAGGAGGATAGATCCATGAGAATGTCCCATGACTTAGCCCATTACTTATGATTAATATAATATATATATATATATGTTTATACAGAATAAACCTTATGATTAATATATATATATATACATATGATTAACATTATCATTTTTTGCCATATAAACCATATATAGGATAATATTATATAAGATTAATATCATTGATGCATAATATCCCATGGATCATTTTAAATGGGGATGCGTCTTCCCTATGAATCTGCCACATCACACCATCTCCATTTTTTTCCCAGGCAACTCTTTCGAGAGGACGGGGCATCCCGATGGATCCCAGCAGATGTTACATAGAAGTACCTACCCTCTGGTTATGTCAAACATAGCTATTGAAAATGGCAATTTATAGTGGATTTACCCATTGAACATGGTGATTTTCCGTAGTTTTTTGTATGTTTACCAAAGGGTAGCAGAAATTATGAGTGAACAATGCATTGATTGCATGTCTAGCGTTTCTTTGCCGATTGAATCCTCATTTTCGTGATTGGTCGAAAAACTATCAATGCGGATTTCATGATAACCGGGTTTGTTTCGTTTTTTTGGCTGATGACCTCCTCATGTTGCGAAGTTACTCTGTCGTTCCTGCGCATGTTTCGCTAGGACACCACGTTTCCGGCCTGCAACGGAGATGTTTGGAGGGGTCCACTGTTCGATGGCCTGCAACGGAGATCCCCAACTGGATGGATAGAAACTGATCCGACTGAGTTTTGTTGAATGGAAAATCACCAGCAAACCAGCACAAGATGACATAAAACAATAATAAACCACCCCATGTTTGATGGTCTATACCACCCATAAAACATGGTGATGTTGGGGATGGTTTATGATTCTAACCACATTATTACATTTTTTGTGGACTAATTATCAAAGATTGACCATGACTATATGTCGATACCAGTCCCTGGTTTCACTACTTTGTGGGTAAAATCCTTGTTCTGTAGTCAGTTGCTGTGGTTATCATGTACTGACCTCACTTAATAAAAAAGCAACCCCGAAAAGAGAAAGAAATTTAAAAGTAAATCCATGTGAATCCTACTAGACTAGTGGCAACTTACGACTTCCTGTCTTTTTTCGGGGGTGCTATTCTACATAGGTTGCGTATTCCATGCTATTCCCGGGTAGTGAAGCAAGGATTTCCGGCAGCCCTTTGATATGCCCCACCAACATTCACCTAAACCGATATCATCATAATATCTCACCAACATTCACCATGTTGTTTTGTTCGTTTTCCTCGTGTTTTCTCGGTTTCTTTTGGCCAAACGTATACCTGATTGGCCAAAGATAGCCCACCAAGGCTCGCTCCAAAAGATGAAGGGATGTCTTTGGGAGGTGCGAAAATCCCACGCAAAGCGCGAGCCCACGTGGTTGGCTGGAAAATGGCTTATGTTTATCTAAAGATTATCTATGATTCTATGATTCTATGATTACCTATGTTATCTATGTTATCTATGTTATCTATCTTTCTATCTATCTATCTATCTATCGATCTATCGATCTATCGATCTATCGATCTATCGATCTATCGATCTATCTTATCTATCTTATCTATCTTATCTATCGATCTATCGATCTATCGATCTATCGATCTATCGATCTATCGATCTATCGATCTATCTACCTATCTACCTATCTACCTATCTACCTATCTACCTATCTACCTATCTACCTATCTACCTACCTACCTACCTACCTACCTACCTATCTATCTATCTATCTATCTATCTATGTATCTATCTCTCTATCCACCTATCTATCTACCTACCTACCTATCTATCTATCTACCTATCTATCTATCTATCTATCTATCTATCTATCTATCTATCTTTGTGCATATGATTACCTATGATTCCTGTGATTATATTATATATATGTGTTTGTATGATTGTATATGTATAATGCGTGGACTTGTCCCAGCTAGGACCCCCCATTTAGAGGGATTGTCCATTGCCACATTTGATAGAGGATATCTTGAGGGAAAGGATGGGTGAAGGCCCAAAGTCACCTCGTCACCTTCGGCCAGGGTTTCCTAATTGGTGGTAGGGAAAATCCACTGGAAAGCCCTACTGGTTGGTGGTTTGGAACATGTTTTATTTTCCATCATATAATGGGATGTCATCCTTCCCATGGACGAACTCATATTTTTCAGAGGGGTAGGGTTGAAACCACCAACCAGCCATGGTTTTTTTTTCTGGTCATGGCCGGTCATGGCAGCCATGGTTTTCCTATCGTCCGCCGGTCCCAGAAAGTTGCCATTTGGGGGTCACATACCCAATACCCAAGAAAATACACCTGCATGGAGGATGGTTCACTATTGGGCTTACCACATGAAGATGGGATTTTTGGTGTGGTTTGATGTGTTTTGTCCCAACCCCTCTCTCCTCTCAGTGCATTTTTTGTAGCAGAAACTTTGCCTTTTGCCGAAATCGCAGGTGCCATTTCAGCCTTGGAGCTGAAGGGTGCCTGCTTGGATCCTTGGCAAATGGGGAGTGACATCAGCCGTTGGGCGTAACGCTCACCATTTATCCGGCTGAATTCTAAGCTTCTTCAAACCAACGATGCTTGATATTTGTTTGGGGGGAACACCCTGAACTGACGTAAGTTGTGGTGAACTACTACAATGCAGCCAGTTCCTAAGAGTGGAAAGGGTCAGCCACATACTGTGGTAAGTTCTGTGGTAAGCCCCGATGCAAAACCTCCAATTTTGCAGAGTTGACTACCGTATCCTACCCAGGTTACCCATTTCACGCCATTTCTGGCTTTGAGGAGAGGAATTGGCCTTTTGACATCGATAAAGTCAACAATCGGCGCTTTGGCAGATGATGACTCCGCGCCCTTCACTGCTTCGGTGCAGTTGTTTTTTTGGTATAACCATGTTGATTCCATTATTATGAATTGGGGTATAAACATGTTATATACTTCATTTGCGCAATCTTTGAAGTGGATTGCTAGCTGAAAAAATATCTTTGGTGGATATGAAACGGCTAGTACCCGGCGAAAAACCAGAGAAGCAAAGCCAAGTTGAGCCTGGTTGGTGGTTTGGAACATGTGTTTTTCTCCATATATTAGGAATAATCATCCCAACTGACGAACTCCATGGTTTTTCAGGGGTAAAACAACCACCAGGAGCTCCCAGAGGGAGCAGGGTCTCCGGCAGCGCGGCAATCCCATGGATCCCACCGTCGATGTTCGCCCAGCGTTTTACCGATTTCCCATGGGGATACCATAAGAAATGCCGGGGAAACCATAAGAAATGCCGGGGAAACCATAAGAAATGCCCAGTTAGGATGCTTCAAAAAAAAATAATGCCCCCATTTATGAAGCCACCAGTTTTCCTGACCATTTTTGCTGCTGAAATCTCCGATGTGAGATTCCCAAAGGCCAGTGGAACCTTGCTTCAACGAAGCATTGAGGCGGGCAACTAGTTTAGAACCTCCGGTGTCATCGTGGCGTAGGAAAATCCTTTGTAAATGGAGGGTTTAATGGAAGCACCAGTTTTCTTGGAAAACGTTGTGATGTACAAGATATATACCATATGAGATGATATAAATATATACTTATAGATTATAGATCAAATAAATAAATGACGAATAAAACTACTAAATAGATAGATAATGATAGACATATAAATCTCTATATGCATCTATATACTGATTGGTGGTTTGGAACATGTTTTATTGTTCCATTCAGTTCGGAATCACCATCCCAACTGACTAATATTTTTCAGAGGGGTTGAAACCACCAACCGGAAAGGGAGTTTGAAACAAAATGATATCCTCCGGTAATCAAGCATGGCAGCATATAAAACTCATAAATCGATAGATATATAAATCATTATAAATCTCTATATGCATATTCCATATCTTAAATAGATGGAATGTTAATACGCATATTTATATATATACACACATATATTCATCCATATTCCATCTCAAAACTCCCAGTCTTCGCAGATCGCAGGTACAAAATCGCTGAGTCCGAGAAGGTCCCGGTGGATCTCAGCAGCATGCGCCGGTGCCTGGCCGAAGGACGAGCGGACAGCGGATTGGTTCCGGCTCCGGAACCGGATGGGTCGGAAACTCATGGGTTTTTATTGGATTTTCATGGGATTTCTATGGGATTTTTATGGGATGTTTATAGGATTTTATGGGATTTTATGAGTTTTTAGGGGATTTTATGGGATTCTAATGGGCCATGAATGGGATTTTATGTGTTTTTAGGGGATTTTAATGGGTTTTAATTGGATGTTTATCGGATTTTATGGTATAACATGAGTTAATGGCATTTATATAATGGGATATAGTTGGTTTGATCCAGTGATTTTTTTTGTGCGAACTAAACGGAAAATAGCCAGAACCAGCTAAAAAAAACATATTTAGATTGGCCATGAAAAGTGGATAAGACAATGAGAAAGTTGACTTGAAGACTTTTTTTGTTTTGAAAGTTTGCTAAAGATGATGTGTTTTTCCCGGTGGTAAATGACACGCAAATCAACGATTTCGCTGGGAAAATGAGGGAATTTTATAGTGATAGCATCGTGATAGTTCCTGCTGGGCAGAGTGACCCCCTGCATATGGATATATGAAATTCTTGGCTGAAACTGCGGGAGAGATAGATTTGAAATAGATTTGAACAAGTATGGCCTACATCCAGGTCTGCATGTTGGAAATTTGCTCCTCAGTTTTTCCCCAAGATTGTCCATGTACAGTAAACCTATCGACAAAACTGGACAAAGCAAGGTTCAAAAAAACATCGAAACTGCATGGAACTGCTACCTTCCAGGAAAAGTCATCTCGAACAAAATAATGGAGGCTGATGAATATTATATATATATATATGTGTGTGTGTGTGTACGTATGTCCATGTGTATATATATATATATACACATCGCTTTCACATGCTTTGGGGTTGTCAGACAGGGAGGTGCGTCCGAACGCCATGGCTTTCGCAGGACATCCCATCGTCTTCGGCTTGAAGTTAACGGCGCAGTTCTTCAAGCCCGCAGCAGGCGCCACGCTTTAGCCCGAGGATCAAAACGGAGTTTGAAACAAAATGATATCCTCCGGTAATCAAGCATGGCAACAAATAATAGAAAACTCCTCATTTAGATTCATTTAGTTTGATGTTCCTATAAAAACTCCGATGTTTGTTCAGGGCATTTGCAATTACAGTATATACCACGTCGGGTTAGCGAAGGATAAATGAAGGGATTGATGGGACATATACCTAGGTAATCCTACGTAACCAATGGTATCCAAAGATGATTTCAATCTGGACGGTTTGAATGGCAATTTCATGTTTGACCAAGCCGTATGAAAATCGAGGGCAGATGGGAAACATGGTAACAGAGGGTTGAGTCAAGTCTGGGATGCAGTGTATTGATCAATACTTCCTATAGTTTAATATATATTAATATATCCTATCCACTGGGTCTTGGCTCCCAAAGCATGTCTTTGAAAAAGATGGTTGACCATCAGTGATCCAAATCAGGGTCCTGTCATTTTTAATTTTAATTGGCTGGTAACTGACGCGACCTGAAGCATCCTGAAGCATCCAGCCAGGTGGAGGTATCTCCACTCCAGACCCAGATGACCCTCAGTCTTCCGAGCATGGCTTGCATGCCATGCTGATCGTGGGCTACAGCGATCGCCAGGAGGCAACACGGCTGCCCGTGTTGCAGTTTTGTTGGGCTGAAGCTCTGGTTGTCTATCAATGTGCAGCCTAGAATCTGCACTGGTTGAACACTGGACCAGATCTGGTTGGTGGTTTCAAACATGAATTTTATTTTCCATAATATATATGGGATGTCATCCTTCCCATTGACGAACACCATCATTTTTCAAGATGGGCATATTGCACCACCAACCAGAGATGGCCTTATCCCAGTTTGCCTAATAGGTGCATCTACATTTGGTGAACTCCCCATAGTTCGTTGCAAAAAAAGCGCCCTACTTGTCTCGGACATCCACTGCAAACCGTTCCAACTCGCAGGTCTTTATCGTCCGAAACAGCTGGGGCACTTCTTGGGGCGATGGAGGCCTAACAAGGGCGTTTGGCCGTTTTTTGGGTCACCAGAATCTGAGGATCAAAGCTGGGTACGACAATCCAAATATATCCAAACAATCAAAGGGATGAGGCAAAACAATGATACCCTCTGGTTATTTGGTACAGAGCGAACTGGAAAATGGCCCATTTACAGATGATTGTCCCATTAAAACCTCCATTTATAATGGATTTTCCGTAGCTATGTTAAATAACCAGATGGTAATCATGATGATTGATACTGTAGTATCATGATGCATCATGTAATATTTCATGTATATTCATGTAATATCATGTAATATCTCTAGAATTAATTATGGATACTACAAAGTGGGGCCCCCTAGATAGCTAAGTTGGTTTATAACTCCAATAACTATGGTTTATGGTACCTATAACTATAGTTAATGGGGTTTATAAACCATCTAACATCACTGGGGGGCCCCACATTGTATGGGGTCATAGAATCATGTTTCCCGAACTGTTGTGTCCAAGCCCTTAGTAAACTTAGGGAGCTCAGAGCTATCCAGGGCCGCTGCCGGTGCAGGGTATGGTTACGTGCCCTACGACTACATCTGCAACGATGATTTCAATTTCCTGGGGTGCACTTGGCCGCAGATTGTGGGTCGGATCTGACTGGGTGATGATGGTCAATGAATTGGATGATGGGAAATTTTACAGGAAAACCCTATATTTGATGGTAAAATCATGTAAAATCTATGGTTTCCTGTAAATTTTCCCTCAAACCAATCCATTGAGATAGATGATGGGCTACGACAAAAACTTGTGGTGAACATGTTTGAACCGGTCTTTTTCGTTGTGTCAGACGTTGGTGTTTACCCACCATAGAAGATCATAGAAGTAGATCATTTTCTGAAACCACGCGGCTTTTCCACGGCAACAGTTTACCCGTTTCCAGCAACCCAAATCTGTAAAGTCCCCCAGAATGAACCCCCATTGACCGTCGCCGGGTGTCCCAAAGACGTCGGTCGTCACCGATCCACGAATTCAGTACGAAAGTTATATGGTTTGGTTTGAATCACCATGGTATCATTGGTGTGGATGAGGTTGTATCAGCCATGGTATACACCATGATATGTGGATATATTTGGTATCATGGCTATTGGTTATATGGCTATGGTTTGAATCACCGAATTGAAGAAAATAGCCATGTTCACTCACATACCTTTCTAAGTGGCGCCGCTGTCTCAGAGCCGTTTTGCTGCAGTTTCGCAGCCCTGCCTTTGCAAGGCAATATGCTATCATGGGCCTGACAGAAATGGCACCTTGGAGTGAGTTAATTTAGTGCCACCGAGGTATTACCCTCTGGTTATTTGTTACATAGCCATGGAAAATGGCCCATTTATAGATGGTTCACCTATTAAAAATGGTGATTTTCCATGGCGAACTGTTAAATAACCAGATGGTAACGATTATTCATGTCAAGTGTCAACCCCGGATTCATCAACCTAAAGAGGTTGATTCGGGGGGTACCATTTAGCAAATCATCACTCATCACTCTTTGGGGTAACCCCGCTTTAATCATCATCCGGGGTTGACAGGTGGATATAGGGAGCTTTGACCCCTCGAAATTGTGGATGGGTTCAGTGGGTTGAGGACAAGCAGATAACTGCCATGCGGTGATTCAGCCTTTCCAGCCAGGTGCTGGTTTTGACGTCCCTGAGTCTCACTTTGAACATATACTGAATGCGTTTTTTGGTTTGTTTTTAATATGATTGCTGATATTACTGATTACAGTTTTGTACTGTTGTACACATGTGTTTTCCTGCACATGCGTTAATTCTGTAGGTGGATTGCGGCTTAGGGTATCCTAATGTATCTCTTGATAGTTGATCATAGCTGTTTCCCAATGAATCCCCATTTTCAGACATACCCGGTGTCACATACCCAAAAACGATCAAAATGGCCCACTGAAATAGTTGATTCACCCAACTTAAAGATTAGGCTATTTTCCATAGGAACTAATGGGATTTTACCTATTAGAAACTGGTTGGTGGTTTGGAACCATGGAATTGTATGACTTTCCATTCAGTTTGGAATTTCATCATCCCAACTGACGAACTCCATGATTTTTCAGAGGGGTAGGTATGCCACCAACCAGATCATAAAGTTGATACTGTATATTCCATTATACAATATTCCCATTCTGTTCCATCAAATCACCATGTTTCGTTTGTTCAAAACGCGCAAGTTCTCACCACATGGCTGCTATGGCACAGGACTTCACTCCAGACCAAGATGATGGGCAAAACTACAACTTCACTCAGAATCTGGGTGAGAAAAAAGTGGTGAACGCTTGAAGCACCGGGAAATATGAGAAATATTGGGGAAAAAGGGGACTGTAGTTCAGTACTCCTCAATTATGCTGCACTCACCCCGCATTTATACTGAACTTGTTGAGTGGGCGATATCTTATGTCCAAGCAATGCACCAGGACTGGGGAAACTACTGTTGTTGATCTAATTGGGGTCAATCTTAAGCCAATAATCCAGATGAAGCTTCCCAAAAAATACAAATAACTACATACACGTGATATATCATAATATTTAATTTTTCAACGCAAATATATGTGTAGCACTACTTTTTAATATAGTATAAATATATATATAGTATAAAAATATATATAATATAAATATATATATATATACACATTGCATGTTTATGCCAGCGGACCGAAAACCGTGCTCGTAAAAGGCACGTTTTTGCTAGCGTGTGTTCGGAGGTCATGAAGGGGTGGGGTGGGGCTCAAAGATCTTCAAAGAGCAAAGATCTTCTCCTCTATGTGAAGTGCTGACAGTGGAGGTATGTGAATCTGCATGCCCATCTCCAGCAAAAAACAAGTTCAACGCTGAAGCGCCTGCTCTGAAAAGAAAGAAAAATCCTGTCAACATCCGGTCCACCATGTTTCGATGTAACGAAGTATGGGTAACTCATGCCCGTCTGGAAAACCATATAAACCATGGCAAATTGCCCCAGAACATAAACAGCCAAAACCTGCCAACAGCTTCCAGGCATAGATTTATTGGACATTTTTGGGGCCGTTGGAGACGATGGCAGCGTGTGGCACAGGAATGAGGACGATGATTACGACTTGGACGAATATGAGGATGACCCTGAGGCACGCTGCGCCAATTTAAAGTTGTCCTAGGGCCTGATGCTCATGGCACGGATTTCGGTGAATACCTGTCAGGTGGAACCCGGTGTTTTTGGTGATTGGATCGCAACCCAGATATGATGTGATTGAAACAGTGGCGCATGTACTGGCAAATGCGATCATAGGAGAGCATATTACTAGGTCAATCTTACATGGATACTTTAATCCTTTAGTCTTTTGGTATTAATGGGAATATCTACTAACCAGCAAAGAATTATTTTTTTTGCCGGGTATCTAAGATTGGCAATGATTATGTGGATGTTGTCTTTGTATCCCCCGCTAATGTACCTTTATAGAATGAGTTTGTGGTCGTTTATGGAATGCAGTTTTGGGTATCGTTCTATAAACCCAGATTTGGGGGGAATCGATCGGACCGGCTGGAACAAGCAAGTACATGAACCCTCCCTACTCATTCTATAAAACCAAGGTCTTGCAACCCTTTAACTCATTCCATAAAAGCCAAAATGCTCCAAAAAATGGATGTTAAATCGAAGTTAACCATCCTGGTAGATGCATTCCATAAATCCCATGGAGTGTAATGTTCGATTCGAGTAACAGACTTGTTTCGAAATGTTTGGACCAAACATGCGCTTGAAATAGCATTCTATAAACCGACATGTCCTGCTGGCTTTCCTCCTGTTTTTTTTTACTTGTAACTAGCCAATTCATTCTATAAAGTTAATTTTTGGGGTTTTTAACCATCGAAATCTCAGATCCTTAAACTTGCCGGACCATTCCATAAATATGCCTCAGATTTATTCTATAAAAAAAGCACCCTCAGAATCATTTTATAAACCAAAATGTTTATAGAATGCAGTCAGCCACAGTCTAGGGCACATTCACGGAGGATGTCTTTGTATTTTCTCTCTGCGGAAGCTAGTATCCAAACCATAGCTAAGCCCAATGACCGTTCTTCCTCAATGAAGAGTATTGTCAATGGATTGGTTTAAGGGAAAATTTACAGGAAACAATGGTTTTTACCATTATTCATATGGGGTTTTAACCAGTTAAAATTTTCCCAACAAAACCAATCCATTGATATTGACCAGGGCAGGATGCGAAATCAGAAAAATCATTTTCCTTGTGGGAAAATCAAGGCCTTTTAGCCCTTGGGTTCTACTGGGTGCATCCCAGGAGTGGTGCGGAATATCGCCATAATTAATATGTATATATATATATAATATATATATATACATATGTATATATGTATATGTATATATATATATATAAATAAATAAACAAATAAATAAATAATTAAATAAATAGATTATGTAAATTATGTATTTAATTATGATGAATTAATGGGTGGTGTTCACCCATACAATGCCCCCACAGTTTGGAGCTAGCACATTTTTCATGCTGCCATGCCACATTGCGTTGGGGTTTCATCCGCAGGATGATGAGGAAGATGACTTTGATGTTGAGGATGAATTTGATCCCAAGCCACTCGGCGCTGTGCGTTGGAAGTAAGTGTCATACTTCCTTTGGAAGCGTGCAAAATTATATATAGATGTGAACGGAGCGTTTGGAACCGAGGTATTTGACTGGCAAATATTCCAATTACTATCCGTATATCGTTTTAGCATGGTTTAACCCTATAGTATGTGTTGATTGTCTTTTGGGGTGAAGAATCAAGTTTCCATAGAGTAACTCCTGGTACGACCTGGGGATGATCCAGGTAGCGGTGTCGCTGGGCTGTTGATCATTTTTCGGGGTCAGCATTGTAGTAGCACATCGCTCTTTGGGGCTACGAATTCACGAATTAGTCAGCCAGGTTTATCAAGTCATTTTTCATGGAGAAAGCGATGGTATTTTGTACCTTTGGACCATCCTGGTGGAATGATGATCTCCCGAGTGCCAACTGGTTTGGAAGCCATTCGGCATGACTCCTCCAGCGTCATGCCCATCCTTTCCGTGGTCACTGGCGTCATGTGTTTTTTGATTGTTGTTGAGTCCACAAATGTGTCAGTTCAATCTTGTTTGCTGATTAAATTCCTATTTTAAATTAAAATAGGAATTTAATCAACAAACAAGATTTGTTGAAGTCTAATATTAATTACCTTCTCTACTTGCGGGCCATCATAAAGCCAACCGTTTGCCTGGTTATCATCCAGACTAGCAATTTCAATGAATTAATCATAAACGCGGTATATATATATTATGTGTATATATATATATATATTGTATATGTGTACTTGGTTGAATCCGATGTATCTACCGGGAAATCCTGCAAGTCCCCCCAACTTACTGTATAGGAATTATTGGTGACATCCACCCGAAACTGGCTGGCGGGATTGCCTCAAAATCAGGGTTAAATTGCCAGTTCTCCCGTTGCCTCAAAATGCATTCCCCATTGTTTCCTCCCCGTGGTTTATGTAACAATTGAAATTGTAAACGGTGGATCATATCCAAAAAAAAACTGTTCTTGCCGGTATTTTTCTCTTTCTGTCCCACTTGCAAATCCTTTTCTATCCCACTATATATTAATGGTTCCAGCCCACTATAACCATAGAATAAGCCAATTATATATTCTAATTATATCCCAACTATATCCTAATATGTCCCATCTCCTCAATATGTGTATAACATATATATATATACATATTATACTAGGATGGTTCAGTAAGTTACATTTTACTAGGATGGTTCTAGTAATGGTCATATAATATGTAATATTTATATCCCCAATAGTTGGCTATCATTAAGTTCTTCCCATTATACTAGGATGATCCAATCAAATACATACGCTCCTGGTTGGTGGTTTGGAACATTTTTATTTTCCATAATATATGGGATAATCCTTCCCATTGATTAATATTTTTCAGAGGGATTGAAGCCACCAACCAGGCCCAGACCATCCCTTCCTCCTGTTACTTAGGAACGAGGCGGAACGCGCCTTCCGGCAGTTTGATGCCAATGGCGACGGCACCATCGATGGCGGCGAGCTGATGACCTGTGGCTCGCGGTGAAGCGGAAGGGACCGACCATGAAACGGGCGTGCGACCGGAGCAAAAACCAGGGATGTTTAGTTCCTTAAGGATCATGGATCTTAATGTCATAAGACCTAGATTTTTGAAGGGTTAAATTTTAGAATAAGACTCTTTTCTAGTTTTTTTAAGGTTTTTTATTTTTAAGAAATCACAGACATGGACAATTGGAGAATTGAGATGTGGTGCAGTGTCGAATGAAACCCCAGCAGCATGGGATTTCTGCGCAACGTTTTCGGGTGAGTGATTTACGTCTCTTTTTGGTCAGTAGTTTGGGAGTTGCGAGGTAGGAAAACTTCGGTGTTCGTTTTTTTTAGATTTGATAGCAGTTGGCTGTATGTTGACTTGGGGATTTATTTGCTGAATGAAGCACTCCTGCCGGTGGAGTCGGTTCATTCACCTCACTGTCGACGAAAGGTGCACATCACCCATTTTCAATATGAACTAACAGCATGTCTAAAGTCACTTAATTTTTTGTTGTGGCGAACTAAGGGAAGCTGGATAATGTGGGTAAAACAATGTCATAAACCACGGATTTGGGAATGGTTCATACCACCCATAAACATGGTGATGTGGGGATGGTTTATGAAATTATTTTGCTCACATTAATCAGGTATTAATCACTATTCACCACTATTAATCACTACTATAATCACTACTATAATCACTACTATAATCACTATAATCAGATTAAACCATTCCCATGTTTGAGATCCCAAAACCCCACAACCATCCCACCGGAGCACTCAGCGAACCATCCGAGGTTTCCTGATGAACGGCATCCGAATGAACCCCATCAAGTTGGCGCAGATCTGTGCATCCATGGCGCCTCGAAAAACGGGGTAAAGTATGGTAGCCTTTGGTAATGACGAACAGTTTGCGACATAGAAAATGGCCCAGTCGAAATAGTCGAAATAGTGGATTTAGCTAGAAAATGGTGATGTTCCATCGTTTTTTGTATGTTTATCAGAGGGTAAAACCATGTAAATTCATTCAATGAACCTCTATTGGAGATTATTACTATTACTTAATAGTAAACCTCAAATAAATCCATTTACTATTGAGTCTACCACTGGACTTTATTTCCATTGGAAACGACCATAGTCTTGTGGGATTTGGCCGGTAGCTTCACTGACGTCGAAAAAGAGGATTGAAACCAAGCAGCCACGGGCTGCCGCATGGTTGTCGATCAATATCTCTGATTTCTGGCTTATTTACCCCCTGGTAAACTAACATAGCTATTGAAAATGGCCCAGTCGAAATAGTTGATTTACCCAATAAAAAATGTCCATAGTTGTTTGTATGTTTACCAGAGGGTATCCATTTCTCCCCAAGGTATTCCTGCGTGTAAATCTAAGGCGCAACCCCCAAATAGATCGAAAAGTTCTAACCCTGGCAATTACTGGTGAAACATATATTTTTTTAAAAAAAAAAAAAAACATCATCTATGATCATCTAAAACTCTATATTATAACATATATCATCATCTATTACTGGTGAAACATATTGATACATCTAAAACTCTATGATCATCTAAAACTCTATACATATATATATATATAACATTCTATGATCATAACATCTACAACATATTTTGAAAGGATCCTGCCCCTTAACATTCTTGACAAAAAAAAAATGTATCTATCCTTTCTTAGAGGGTCTCTGGACCCTCTGGGCCCAGGATGTCGATAAGGACCCCGCTGACGGTGGGTGGGTGAAGGTTTGGTAACGGGTTGCTATGGTATTTTCCATGGCCCATGGAAATAGATGATTTACCTATTAATTAATTTCATGGAAAAATTGTGATTTTCCATGGTATATATATATATATAGTTATGTAAGTTTACTGGAGGGTGTGTTCGATTTGCACCACTTTATATGTTACTATCTATTACTATCTTTATGTTTCTGCTAATATAGTGCGGGATGTCGCTTCTCTTTTGTTTCAGGGGGTTGTCAAGTTGTCATAAGCCATAAATTGAGGCCAAGGGTCAAATGGTCAAATCAAGTTGTTCTTTGAATTTGTCTATGATTTGCACAAGCGGTAGTCTAATTCATGTGCCAAGTGATATTGTTAACTATTGATGTGGCAATTCAATCTTATGATTTCAAATCAATGCATTCGATTTGGAGGGAAAGGTACAATGTCAAGCACGGATTCTTACAATGTCAAGCACGGATTCTTAACCCCTGAGCATCCCTGAGCTGCCTAATTGGGAGCCACTTTACTAGTAGATTGTCACTCTTTGGGTGTAACCCCAATGAATCAACCATGGTTTATTTGTCCAGGATTGACATTAACCGTTAACCCCCATTAAACAATTTATACCAATTATGTATTATGATATACTATATATAGTTTAGAACATGTATGTATATATATATATATACATGTGTGTGTGTACATATCTCACCCTTACTCTTGGTTTCATCGTCGCTGAAAAATGCCAAAATATCCCATGACCTCCATGCGTTCGAGGACGGCAAATTTAACTTCGAGGAGTTTTGGCACTTGATGCAAGCTGTGAAGGCCGGATCTTGATCCGGATGATTATTTGGTTGGTGGTTTGGAACATGTTTTTTCCGATATATTGGGAATAATAATCCCAGCTGACTAATATTTTTTCAGAGGGGTTGAAACCACCAACCAGTTATGGATGTACTGCTTGTGGGTTATTATGGATTACTATAGCCTATGAAATCTATGAATATCATTTCATTGCACTTATACAGTTGGAGTCAATTGGTTTTGACGCCATGCCCCACTATGAATGTTTATGCTATCATAATCCATGATAGCCATGCTATAGCCTAAAAATAATCCATGATGGCTTATTGTGGATTACTATAGCCTATGAATGTCTATAACATATATTAACCATATGATATCCATGGATATCTCACAATCCAATGGGCAATTTTTGTAATTTTTAAGGGCGACTTCTTGGAGAGATGGTTGCTGACTTTCCATTGGCAAAAAGGCAGTTGGATGATCTCAAATCGAAGCCCCATAAATTGATAGTTCTTTGTTATCAATATCATATATCATATATATATATATACATATCATATATATATATGCATTAGTTTATGTATGATGTTCGTGTTTGTGGCTGGATCAATGTTTATCCCTCTTCCTGGTGAAGCCAGAGAGCTTCGAGTTCATGGATACATCCAGGGGCTAGTTGATATCCCCATCTCCCTATGAATTGTGGTAAGTTTGATCCCCATTTTCAGATACCAGCCACGCAGACACGTTGAGGCCACCCAGTTATCTTTGCTAGTTTATAAACGCATGGATTTTTCTGTAGTAATCGGTCCCCCATTTTTATCAGCTATCAATCATAGCATTCACCAAGTTTATGTCAACTTAGCTACCATAAATCAGCGATCAATCCCATGAATCACCATTGTTGTTGGTGAAATTGCCATGTCCTACAAAGTGGGGCCCCCGTTTACGATAGCGTTCAGTTGGCGCAAATAACTCCAATGTCACTATGGTTTATGGTACCTATAACATCCTATAACTACAGTATTCATGGGGTTTATAAACCAATAACTATGGTTTATAACTATGGTTATAACTCCAATAACTATGGTTTATGGTACCTATAACTATAGTTAATGGGGTTTATAAACCACATTGTACGGCTTTTCCCCTGATTTCCCCAGTTTTTCTCCCCGGGTTTTCCACCCATCCCGATTCCGATTCGCTCGCAGGGCTCCGCCACGGGCCGGATGTGTGGCTGAAGCAACGCCAAGGACCAGCTGGCGCAGAGCGCGCTTCGCGCGATGGCTTGGTTTAGATTGCTTCAGATTCATTCCGGGATAATATGGGATAGCTATGGATAACTACTGGGATAGTACCCTCTGGTAAGCGTTTACAGTTTGCGACATAGAACATGGCCATAGAAATAGTTGATTTACCCATTAAAAATGGTGATTTCTTAGTTTACCAGAGGGTAATGGGATAATTAATGGATATTAGTTTACTAAGTCATGAGGATACCCCACCCCAATAGTTGGATGGCTTGTTTCATGGAAAATCCGAAAATAAAATTGATGATTGCTTGGGGTACCCCCATTTCAGGAAACCTCCATATGGCTTCATAGGGATAATTATAGGGATAGCAATGGGAGAATTAATGGATATGAATGGGATATGAGTGGATATACCCAATCTAAAGATATCTAAAGTGAGTAATGTGGTTCAACCCATCAATAAAGATCCTATTTTATAAACGAGCAAGATGGTAAGATGAGTTCAACCCATCCCAAATTAGGAATGTGCGTTGTAACGTTGTTCAACGCATCGAATAAACATCTATATTAAATAAGAAGCCAGCACTATGATAATGTAGAATGAGTAATTAGCCTCTTCTAAACCAACAAAGATGTAATCGATATGTTATCTAAACTTGGAGACGGCGATGGATGGAGAGAGTCAGAGAGAGAGAGAAAGAGAGAGAGAGAGAGAATTATGGAACTGGTAAGTGGTTTGAAGATGTTTGAAGTATTTCTTGTTTTTCCACATGTTTCCAGCTCATTTGGGATCAGACCCAGTGGCCCAGGTGTGGACGAGCTGAAGACTGCCTCCGCTGGACAGCGAGGGGCCGTTTTTTGGGCCAAACGATTTTAATATGGTTTAATGCGGGCTGGTGGTTTCAACAGTAGAATTCTTGTTTTACTAAAGCGATTACCAAATTCAAACCTATGAATTCAACAGAATTCAATGTTATCTTTGGTGACTTAGATCATTTATATTTGTGTGGTTTGAAGTGAAGCCATTACAATCATTTAATATCATTGACAGTGTGCCAATCAGAGTATATGATGTATTTATAAACATATATATATGTTGCAGTGCTATCCTTGGTGATACGAGTGTTTGTGATCGATTGAATGGATCAATGGCGATTCCATTATTTCCGTGGTTCATGTGTCATTGATTTTCGGGCTAATGTGTTCAGTTCAGCTAGTTATTTTCTTTTCTCTCCATGCCTGGAAACGGAATGATTGTCACCGACAAGATATTTAAGAAATGTGTATCTAGGTTGAAGCCACCGCCCAATATATAATGGGTTTGTCCAAAAAAGGAAGTATCCCCAACTCAAACAGATCATTTTGAGGGGTTGCATAGCTTTTGGACATGCCCAAAATATACGAAAGCCCCTGGCCGTGTGCCTCAAAAAATGTGTGAGGGGATTTTCATAGTTTTCATTCAGCCTGATGTGGCAAGACCATTCATTATGGTGCTTACCATTGCAGTACAGTACTCTCCATACATTTTCCTGGCGGATTTTTGATCAAAGATAGATATGACGGCTGATGAATGTTGCATCTGTGTGGTGTTGATTGCGACCAGTGCCAAAGTTCACCATGTCATGAGGGATGCGTTTGGATACATTTGGGGGTTCCATAAATGAAGGTACCCCCAAAATGGATTGTTTGTGATGGAAAATCCATGGACGATTTGGGGCTACAGACATTTCAGGAAACCTCCAATTAAGTCAAGAGACTGATCTTTGAGGCACGCGCAGGGCGCAGGTTGTGGTATGAAGTATTGACCACTGGCGAGAAAATGGCGGCTCGCAAGTCGAGCCTTTCACTGTGACACGATATGCCCTAAATGCCAGTTGGCAACGGAAAATCCTTGTTGGCAGGTGGTAATCTGGAAACAGGGAAATTTTCAAACACAAGCTCAGGTTTCAGAAGAGTCTTCGCGCTTGGTTTTTCTATATCACTTGGCTTTGCCCTGTTCGATTCACGTTGAGGCTATAGCACTGTAATCCCCAGAAAGATAATAGTTAAATCATTACTAGTTTAGAGGGATTTGACTTTTCCTTAACTTTGGTTGCTATAACATGCTATAACTCTGTGAAATCCAAAAAAATCACGGCTGTGTTCCCACATTTTTTTGCGTGCTGCCGTTACTCACCCTGGGTTGATAAAGACTGCTAGGGTAAACTCGTCTAATTCGTTCATTCCTTAGAGATCTTGGAGATCTTAGAGGCTATGTCATTGCCATCAGTCAATGGAAATACATTCTGGTAAACATACAAAAAACTATGGACAATCACCATTTTTTACAGGTAAATCATCTATAAATGGGCAATGTTCAATAGCTATGTTAAATTACCAGAGAGGTTCCATATCCAATAGCTGTGGCCTTGCGAGCTTTATCGACCTCCCGGCCCGCCCCTCCTTGCCACGGATCGCGTTAACGCGCGCGCATCTCGCCGGCAGATGGGTGAGTTGAAGAAGTTGAACCCAGGTCCTACAGGTTGAAGAGATTGGTGACTTTGGACTACCCTCTGGTTCTGTCAAAATAGCTAAATGGCCATAGAAATAGTGAATTTTCATGAATTTTCCCATTAAACACGGTGATTTTCCATCGTTTTTTGTATGTTTACCAGAGGGTACCTGGACTGCCCGGACCGGTCATCAAACATGGCAATGGTGTCTATCCCCCCACCGAAATGGAGAGGGGGTGTCTATTGGCATGTGTGATTTTCTGGAGGGTAGGCTGACTTTACTGACTTTACTTTCTACACTAAGGTGGCCCAATTCGGGAACTGCCCCTACCTCAGGTTTCATTCAATTTGGTAAATGTCAGTTCCATGGGGCAAAAAAGCCAGATGTAGAATCAGTAGATCCCCCGTTTCGAAACGACCAACGAAAATCAGTTGTGAATACTGGATCTTCACGAAAATGATTTTTTTATGCATGTAAAATCAAACTCACGAAAATCAGAATCATATCAGAAGAATACTTGTATAAGAATCATCTAAATCACAAATCACAAATCACAAATAAATCATGCTACATGCATGTTTTTCATCAAACAAAAACTCATAAGATCTCATACGATCTCATAAGAATCAAAGAATCATCGAAATCAAGAAAAACCCTAGGCATTTCCCAAGTTTTGGTGAAATTCCTACGCTTTTCGCTGCCCAAGCCCCGACCCAAACTTCTCGGTGTCCTTTCCACCGAGGCGCGCGATGGGTGCGGGTCCGTTGCGTGGTCAGGTGCCGCTGACGGCGCTGGGGCCGGAGGACGTGCTGTCGGCGGCACCTTGGAATCCTTGGAACGGACGGTTGGGAGGTTGGGTATCCAGCCAACCACCATGGGATTACCCTCTGGTAAACTAACATAGCTATTAAAAAGGACATTTATAGTGAGTTTTCCCATAAAAAATGGTGATTTTCCATAGTTATCTTAGTTTACCAGATGGTATATAGCAAAAAAATACTAAAAATAGATCATATGGGATTAACCAATGGAATATATATATATGTGTGTGTGTGTTCAATGGTGATTGATTGGCTTTTTTATTGGCTTTTATTAACTGAAAAATAGTTTGCACAATTGGGATTATTCATATTGACTAATGTGTGCATAATTGGGATTATTCATTTTGACTAATGTGACTAATGGTTGGCTTAATCCCATGTTAATATTATCCCATAGTTGTATGGGATTAACCAATTGAGACCAGGATCCTAAAATGGAGGTACTGTGCCATATAAGGCCATATTTCGAGGGGATATCCCCTGAAATTTTAGGCCTGAAAAATCGGCCAAAAATATATCGTAAGTACCTCCATTATTTTGTTTCCTGTTGCATGGCCATTGATATATACGTGTGTGTTTAATGGTGATTTCATGGGATGTTTAAGATGAGATTGAGCCAACCATTCACCTATAATATATAAATCATAGGTAAATCATCTACAAATTGCTGACTTAACCAATGGAAGAACGGTGATTTTTCATGGGATCAACCAACCTAATAAATGGACAATATAGGATTAACCAATGAAAGAGTGGGAGTTTAATATATATATATATACATAGAGATAGAGAGAGATGTTTAATGGTGATTCATGGTTTTTCTTGTCTTGTGGGATTACTGAACCAACAATCTGGGGTTTGTTTAGTGATTGTTTATTTCCTCTCTGGGAAATCCACTAGAAATGGGGGATCCAAAAAGGTGATTTAATGTGGGAAACCCGGGAAACCCAAAGCCATTGATCTACCGTTTGGGATGGTTTCAAACGCATATAAATGGTGATTTTGGGGATGCTTTATTATTGGATATTCTTGGGTTTGCCCCATAAATGGGATTAGTCAACCAAATAGTGGAATTTAATGAGATGTTTATGCTATTTACTGTAATGGGAATTGTTTTTTTTTTTAAAGGAGCTACCAATAATGATGCTGTTGAAATCAGTTGAATATGAATATAATAGGTCTAGATATGTCATGATATGTCTAGACTTAAAATACATATAGGATTTTCATGGATTTTCTAGGAGTTAACACATTTACTATTGTTAATCGTGCTTTTTGTTCAGACAAAAAAAACATAAAGATATGTGTGATAGCTATTATATAGTATTTTCTAGTTGGGGGGAGGGCTAGCAATTTTTGACAATATATAATATGGTAAAGGACGTAAAGAACCTACAGTTTTGGATAAATACCATTTGGTAATATTGGGGATGGTTTACTGTTACATAGGATGAATGTTTATACCATTCTATCCATTTCTATTCCATCATATCCCCATATCAATCATGTCAATCATAGACATAGAAGTCCTAATCATATCAAGTCCCAATGATTCTTCTTTGAAATCCAAATCATACCAACCATATCAACAACTGAAGTGTATTTTAAGCGCGCAGGGCTGCTGTTTTTTGATGTTACATGTATTTTGGGATGCTGGCCAAATGGCAACTTGGCTGACGAGACTTGTTTCCAAACACACAAAACCCTAGACCCATGCAAACCCTTCATCATAAACCCTAAAACCTAAATCTGACATGAAACCCCAAGTAAGCCTTGAAAGTAAAATCTTATTAAAAGAATGGTAAGAACCGAAAAAAACAAAAAGTGAAACCCTAAATATACCCTAAAGAGTTGGTCCCATAAAACTTCCATTATTTTATGTTTCAAAAAAATACAAAACATATATATATACACATATATCATATATATCATATATATATATCAGATGCCAAAAAAAATCTTATGAATATATCCCATGAGATTCCCGATGTATCCTGTATCAGATCGTCCCATGGGCGCCCGAGGTGGCCCCCATCCTGATTGATGCTGCACGTCAGGGCCTGAAGCTGGGGCACCCAGCGGCTGCGCTGATGTGCTGAATGAAAAGGGCCTGGAAGTTCTGAAAATTCGAACTTGGAAGGATTTGGAAGGATTTCTATGATTTTCTAAAGGATTTCTATGATTTTCTATGGAAGATATGATGGATTTCTATGATTTTCTGTGGAAGATATGATGATATTGATGATGTTGATGACATTGATGATATTTTATTTTGTCTCTCGAGATTTCTCTTCAATCCTCCAAGGAAAAACACCATAAATCCCATGAAATACCCTGAATTCATGACATACCCTCTGGTAATTTAACATAACTATGGAAAATCACCATAGAAATCGTGAATTTTCCCATGAAGAATGGTGATTTTCCCATTAGTGTTTTGTATGTTTTACCAGGTCGGGTAGATGAACATCCAGGGCTTCAACCCGGTTCTCCAGTGGTTCTCCCGTGGCACAGGAAGGTGGTGCTGGATGGAAAGACCTTTGCACCCTTTGGGATGTTGCCACATGCCGTGGAGCCTGTGAAGGTGGATCCTGCACCTGTTGGACCCCGTTGGGCTTGGAGTAGCTATGTATCCAATGGATTGTCCAATTGATATACAACATTTTTCAAGAGCTATGTATCCAATTTATCCTCTGGTTATGTCAAAATAGCTATTGAAAATGGCCATAGAAATAGTTGATTTACCCATTAAAAATGGTCATTTTCCATAGTTATGTTAGTTTACCAGAGGGTATCCAATATCAATAAAATGGAGGGACATTAGTACCATATAAAGCCATATAAAGCCAGTGGGGATATCCCCTGAAATTTAGGCCTGAAAAATCGGCCTTATATATGGTAGGTACCTCCTATTTAGGTACCTGAAGTGGCCATTGAAAATATGTTTAATCCCTGATATGACTAATAAACATGTTCGCTGCAACCCCTAGGTTTGCCCGCGGCCAATCCCGCATATCTCTTGACATGCTCCAGGGTTTAAGTTTTTTACTTTTCCAAAACAACAAATACCAAAACCCTAAAACCTAAAACCCTAAACCCTAAATTAAAACCCTAAATCCTGAAAACTTAAAGTCAAAATCACTGCGTATAGCCAGTGTTTTCATTCATCCTCTGGTGATAAGTATATCATATTGTTTGGATGTGTTGTTTGAGTGTGGGCGAACCAGGGGGTTGCGGGGAACATGTTTAATATAAAAAAAACATCTGAGCAAATCTGAAAAATATGGCTTATGATAGGTCTAGAAAAATATGAAACGTGACTAAATAGGTTAATAAGTTTCATGAATTTATGAATATGTTTTATTTGAGTATTTGTTTGGTTGTTCGTTTGTTTGTTTGTTCATTGATTTTTCTTACGCGACTGAAAACCAAGTAATATGGATACCCAGAAAACTGAATAGGAGGGTTAGTTTCCAAATGGAACTTGCAAGTTTGGGTTTCAATGATAGTCTTGAAGCAGACTAATCATTGGTTTGGCTAACTGATCGTCAATCAATCCCGAAACCAATTTTGTACGCCATTGATAAGATATGTCCGGACAATCATAAAAATATATTGTACCCCATAAACATTTCTCAATTTGTGGCCCACCCAAGAAAGATTGGGGATGGTTTATTGATGTTCATTGTTCAAAAGTTGGTATATCATAAGTGCTTGTTGGATTTACTTCATACTATATATTTTCTAAATTTATAAACCCAACATCAATGGGAATTTCAGGATCCTAAAATGGAGGTACCTACCATATATAAGGCCTATATAAGGCCTAGCCTATGTAAGTGAATATCCCCAGAAAATATGGCCTTATATGGTACAGTACCTCTATTTTAGGATCCTGAAATTCCCATTGACAACATTTATCAATGAGGTTTATTCTTGGGTTTACCACATTGATTCGTATATCAGTGCTATTTTCATCGAGCCAACGAAGCCGAGCCAACTCCCGACGCCATTGTTGGAGCCGACGCCTTTTTCATCGCCAAGTTCTGATTGAGAAGCCGAAATTACCTCTGGTTATTTAACATAGCCATGGAAAATGGCCCATTTATGGATGATTTTCCCATTAAAAATGGTGATTTTCCATAGTTGTGTTAGTTTACCAGAGGGTATATATGATATCTGGGTAAATTATGGTTTATTTATGGGGAATCATCCCCATAGCTGGCCGCAAGATTCAGGTTAGTGAAATATTATTTCATTTACCCAGATGATATGATATGATAAGAATTGATAATATACATATCATATACCATATATGTATATATGGTCCCGTGTCCCGTGTTCCCACCCCCCCCCATGGGATGGGGGGGGGGGTATGATGCCCCTGTGGTGGTGTATATACATACCTACCTACCTACCTACCGTTCCCACCCCCCCCCATGGGATGGGGGGGGGGGTATGATGCCCCTGTGGTGGTGTATATACATACATACATACATACATACCTACCTACCTACTACCTACCTAACACCCCTACGTAACATACATACCTACATACATACATACATACACATACATACCATTACATTACATTACCTTACCTTACATTACCTTACCTTACCTTACATTACCTACAGACATCCATACATACATATACATGCATGCAGCATACATACAACATACATACATACATACATACTTACATACATACATATACATCCATACATATACATACCATACATCCATACATCCAGACATCCATACATCCATACATACATCCATCCATCCATCCATCCATCCATCCATACCAACATACCAACATACCACCAACATACCAACATACCACCACCACAGGCCACAGGGGGGGGGGACCAGAAGAACCATACCACCACCACAGGCCACAGGGGGGGGGACCAGAAGAACCAGACGATACTGTCCACCCATACCCATTGGTGGGGGGGGGAGGGGGGGTGGCCAACGCTGCACCATATATACATGTTTTATATAGTTTTATTACATCTTATTATTTAATGGACATTACATGATATTTTATCATGAATAGTACCTAATGAAAATACATATAGACACATATAGGTTACATTCTTTCATATTATGATGATCTTGTGAAAGGCTGGTACGAATATCATGAAGCCTATGGTGTCATCTTCAGGTAGCAGCGTTCCGGCCCAAAGCTGGTTCGCAGCTTGGTCGCACCACGAATGCCTCATGGGTTGCTGGTTTCTAAAAGGTGGTTACCCCACATAAGTTGGTTTATAAACCATAGAAAGTATAGATATATCTAGCTGGTTGGTGGTTTGGAACAGGTCTAGGCTCAAATACCTTCCAGGTCATTGGTGGACCTGTTCATTCGAAATTTTGAGCGTCGTGTTTACATTGGTGCCATGGCAACTGAATGGGATAGGGCAGTCGCTATCCACAACCTTTTTGCCCCGAACTGGAATGATACCCCAACTGGATCAAAGGTATCCTTGGTGGTCGACTGCGAGATCCATACTGGGGAAATGATGGTTGGAACTTCAGTGCCTGACCTTACAAAGGTGCGTATCTTTGGAGACATCGGGAGGCAGGTGGTAGGTTGTCGGCGCTTGACCCTACTTGATGTTCTGTTGGATTTGTCTAAGGGTTGGGTGGACCTCCTTTTGACTGATCTGAGTGTTGTGGTGGCTCATGGACTTCGCCCAGCCACCGACGCCCTGCGGTTTGTGGAACTGTGTTCTGGTATTGCGTGCTCCGGTGTTGGACTATCGTCTGTGGGGTTCCGTCACCTTGCCAGTGTCGAGTGGAAGCAGCCGCTTGCTGACTTGCATCTGTCCTGTCACCCTGATGTCCCGGTCTTTGTCCAAGACGTTACTGAGCCAACCTGTGCCCGAAAGCTTTTGCAGGAACTTGAGCCACCGTTCTCACTGATGTCAGGGTTCTCATGCCAGCCATACTCGACAGGAGGTGCCCAAGCAGGTTCCAACGATGAGAGGTCAAGCACTTTGCCAGCCACCCTTCGTTTGTGCTATCTGTGCCAGTCCCCAGTCCTTATGCTTGAATGCGTAGCCCCTGCTAGGTGCAACAAGTATGTGCAGGCACATCTCAAATATCTTGAGACCATGTTGGGGCATCATGTTTCTCAAGTGTCCCTGAAGTTGGAAGATGTTTGGGTTTCCCGTAGATTCCGTTGGTGGGTCATTGCCACACACCCGAGCCTTGGCAAGGTGGATATCCCTGATTGGCCCAAATCCCCCATGCTCCTTGTCAGAGATATCATGCCGGTCATCAAAGTTTGGGATCAGGATGTGAACGATGAACTGGTTTTGCAACAACATGAGATAGACAAGTTCACTATGGATGGGTCCCACATTCGGAAGTACTTGGTTCAGAAAGATGGCAAGATGCCAACATGTTTGCACAGTTGGGGATCCCAAGCAGACAGTTGCCCGTGCGGCTGCCGACAGGCTGGATTTTCAGATGCATTGGTGCAGCAACGAGGAATCTATGCTCAGGTGTTTCAGTTGCCTTTGGGATCAGCAGGTGCCTAATACAGACATGTTCACCCGACCGAACTGGCCCTCCTCAATGGCTTCATTCCCCCTCAGGCATGGATGGATCCGGAACACCCTGCTCTCAGGCTTTGTTTGTGCGCAGTGGGACAACTTGCATCCCCACTCCAAGCTGTCTGGGTAGGAGGATGTGCTATGAGTCATCTCCAACGGGTTTTGGGTTTACCACAGTCGGAACCTGCCGAGATGTTGACGTCATACCGCAGAAGTTTGTTCCAAGCATGCAAAGACTTGTTTCTTGACATCCCGTCTGTTCTGCCCAACATGCCTGGAGTTGAAATTCAGCATATTGATGGGACAACAGTTGTGGTGCATGTCTCCCCCCAGACAACGCTTGCGCAATTGTGTCGCGCTGAGGTGGATCTCACACAGCAAGAACTTGAAGGCCAGTGGTGTGATGCCAGGACCGGTGAAACCATTGCATGGGATGAACAAGTGGCCTCCCGCAGCATCCGTGTAGTTCCGTATCAATTCACAGAGGTTGCCCATGGGTCGGAAGTAGGTCATGTCCCGTTGCCTTCAATTCCTGCCCTCACCATGATGGATTTCTTTGATGATCACTCGCCAAGAGAACTGTTGGACGCACATGAAGCATCCGAGGCTGGGGTGTCCGCCAATTCGTGTCCCTTTGGTCGTGTCCCTGAGCCCAAACAGTCGCCGGAAGTCTGCAGTGTCCCAGAGTTGTTCAGAACATCCGAGGCAGGGGAGTCTACTAACCTAGGTGGTCCAGTCATGACAGCCAGGTCAGAGTCAATTGCCGATGTCTCAGTCTGTCCAAAAGCATCCGAGGCCGGGGAGTCCAGTGTCAGTCCAAGTCATGTCAGTCCTGCACTTGCCGTCGTGTCAGCCAGCAGCAATGACACCCGTGAAGCATTGACTAGCCTTGCCGATAGTGTCCCGCCTGATGTCCTGATTGGACTGAAGCACCTGAGGGGCCCACAGCTTGCCGCACTCATCCCGCCCCTGGTGAAAGATGCCAGAACCTGCCGCCACATGAGAAATGAGGTTGTGTCCAATGTGTCCCGTCTGGATGCCTTGAGCAGAGAGGGAAGTGCCATGGGGGATGACGAAGTCAACCTACATGCTCATGCGTGCATGCTTCTTGCCAATAATCCCAATTTGGAATTCCTTGACCCGCTGATGGCTTCCACATGGCTTAAGGTAGGCAATGGTGATCAAGTCCAAGAATGGCTCGCCATGACACCAGACGTTAACTGCATAGCAACTGTAGTGCACAGGAATGATCATTGGTCTCCTGTAGTTTGGAAAAAGGGCATCACCGAAGTTCAGGTGTCCATGTGGGAACATGAAGACGTTGATGTGAGTGCCCTGTACCCGCTGCATGGTCTCATCAGTGTAGCTTGGGGAATGCCTATGTTTGCAGTTGCCTGTAGTCGCAGATCGTATGCCAAGAGCCATTGTGGGGCTGCAGCAGTGGCCTTCCTGGCCCACATGCTCATTGATGCAGCCTTGCCTCAGACGGAAGAAGAGATGCTGGCCTTTCACAAAGCCCTGCGTGACCGATTCACAGCTGCAGTGCACAATTTGTACCATGTTCCCAAGCCTTGGTGTTGGGGACTCGGCACCCCAGATGTCCTGAGCATTACTGCAAGCCTGTTGCACTTGCATGGTGTTCCACAGCCCCATGCCCTGTCCAGAGCCAAATTGGTGGTCCAGAGCTTAGGTCGAAGCGAAGTGCAAAAAGCTGTCACAGGAGTTTCACCCTGGAAATCATTGAAGTCGCTGGCAAACCTGCAGTCACCGCCATTGCAGTTGATCATGCCCGACGAAGCGGCACAGAAGGTAATTGCCAAGCAATCTACCAAACCTGCCAAAAGCACTGTGACAAAGTCGTTTGCCCCGGCCCGTCCAGCTGACATGGATCCCTCCAAGCTAGTGCTTGATGTTGGCGCATTTTGCGTCGGAGATGATGAACCACTGAGTCAGATTCAGTTTTCTGCCGTTGGCCCCCTTGCCAGAGGAGTTGCGCTTGCCACTTTTGCCGAGGCCACACAGTTTCTGCAGGCAGGGAAGCTGTTGACACATCATGGATTGGCCATTTTGGTCCTGAACCCACCGACGGATTTCAATACCAGCTTGCAGTGGTCCACGTTGAGATTTGCTGTCAGATGCTCCGTCAACAAAGAGCCGCTGTTGGTGTCTGGTGTCCTTGTCCAGTTGGGACAGCAAGTCGTCTATCAATACCGGGCCAAGGATGTATTGGCCATTCCTGCGGCTGAAGTAGCTTGTGCAAGAGTTACGGTGTACCAGGATCAGCTGGATGTCAACTGGGAAGAGTTCACTGCCAAGCCTGTCAAGTATGTTGTCTCAGCCCTGTCGTGTCTTCAGACTTGTCGTCAAGCCGATTGTGCATGTGCAGCCTGGCACCCAAAGCCAGACCAGCCTCAAGATGCCCTGCTCGATGTCTTCCGTAGGCAGTACTTCAATGATGCAGGAAAGCCGGTGAAGTGGGACAAAGCCACGTCCTTTGCGGTCATGATCAGGTATGTCAAGAGTTTGGAGAAAGAAGTCTTGGCAGCAAGTGGCCGCAATGGTCTTTATGTCGAGCCCAAGACAGAAGATGCCCTGAAGCCGCACCCTGACTTTCAAGTCATTTGGCTCCCACAACATGAGTTTGCTCAGGTGGTACATGCTGCCAAATGTGAGATGCATTGCATTGGCCTTGCACGTGCTGGTCGCCGTTATGGCCTCCGAGTTCATGTCACCCACTTCCCAAAAGTCTTTGCATCCGTGAAACCAGATGCTGTGTACCTCGCCCCAGGTGACCGCCTCACCTATCACTGCGGCCCATGGCCATATGGCAGTGATCGGAAAAGCATGGCAAAGACTTTGCAGGCAAGTGGCTGGGAGTGTCGCCCTTTACAACCACTACACAGCGTACCGGGTGGCCTCATGTGGGCCGTGCAGGCTGTTACCGCTCCACCATCCAATGTGCTGTCTCTCCAGCATGGCCAGGTAGTGATCACCAGCCAGGACACCAAGCCGACCGGCCCTGAAGTGACAACCAACGTTGTTGGCCCGGCCAAAACAGTGCAGATGTGCACGAATCAAGAGCAGCCAACTGACCCATGGCTGACCAATGATCCGTGGCGCACGGCCACTGCCGCGGTGGCTCTTCCACCTGGGCCTTCTGCTGCCAATGCCTTGCAGGAAATGGAAGATCGACTGGAGCAGACTCTGCTGGCCAAGCTGCCCACACACCATGACATGGAAGTGGATGAACAGGAAAGCCGGCTGCAGTACCTGGAGCAGCAAGTCCAGCAGCTGGCCAGCCGCCAAGGAGCCTTAGAAGCCACCGTCACCGACCATCATGCTCAGAGCACAGCCCAGGTGCAAAGCTTGCAACAGCAGATGATGGCGCAGATGGACATGCAGTCCAAGCAGATGCAAGGTATGCTCACTGATCAAATGAACAGACTGGAAGCCATCCTTGCAAAGAAACCTCGAACTGAGTGGTGGTGTGGGGGCCCTGATGCCATGCCCAAGCGCAGGGTGACCCCGTGGTTGCTTAGACCACTTAGGGCACTTTTCCAAGTTTTGATTTTGTCCATGATGCTGAGAGTTGGCGAAGCACGAGTTCCTGGGCCTGATGTGGATGAGTGGACTTTGGGAGTGGGTAATCCTTCAGGATTACATGGGAAGTTCCATGTGCTCAACTCCGTCCCGGCCGATGTGCTTGCTCTCAGTGAAACCCACCTGACAGCTGCAGCCAAACGCAGCTTGACGTCCAGTTTGCGATCCATGCGATCCAGGTATCGACATGTCATCGCAGGTGCACCCATGGCACCCCGTTCCCTCGCCAGTGAGGCCGGCCAATGGGCAGGAGTAGGATTTGTTTCTGCTGTCCCATGCAGGACTGTTGCCACTGACTGGCCTGACGACCTTTACCAAACAGGCCGTTTACAATTTGCCGCTTTTCAAGCCAGAGCCTCTTGGACTTTTGGGGCAGTTTTGTATGGCTTTCCGGAAGGGAAGACGCATCACAATGCTCTCCAGCGCACAGAAGCCATGCTGGATTTTGCTGTCAAAAGGCTTAGTATGCAACCAGGTCCACGGTTCCTTGCTGGAGATTTCAACTTCCAACCGGAAGACCTTGCGGCAGTTCAGGTGCTCAGATCAAAAGGCTGGGTAGAAGCACAAGATTTGCAACATGAGCGCACTGGTGCCCCCATTGAACCCACATGCAAGGGTGCCACTCGGAAAGATCATCTTTGGATGTCGCCAGAATTGGCTCTAGCGTTCCGTGGCTTGAAGCTTTGCCATGACACCTTTGCTGATCATGCAGTGATGTTGGCAGTGTTTGCAGGTAATGCGGCTCATCTCGAGAGGTTCGTTTGGCCATGCCCCAAAGCTGTCCCATGGAAACAAGTGCGTCATGTGCCTGCCCCTGTCAGTTTTGAGGCACCAGGTGACCCCACTGCCCAGTATGCCAAACTGTGGCATTGCAAAGAAGCACAGGCTGCAGATGACCTTCAGCATGCATGGTTGCCCTCCATGCAGGGGAGGGGACAGCAACTCAAGCCACAGCGCCGATGCACCAGTCAAGCCCCCCTGAAACAAGGGCGCATTGGAGATGTATGCCCAGCTTTCTTCGGGTTTTCTGCCATGCATGCCAAGCAGTTCCGTCAATTGAGACGATTGCAGAACTATTGCCGTTGGGCAACCAACAACCAGTCCGGCAGTGCAACCGACAATGTGCATGGCATTGGGCTTTGGAATGCAATAGTGCGTGCGCCTGGCTTTTCACCGTCATTCCCAGACTGGTGGCGGTCGAGACAGTTTGTTAGCCCACAGGATCCTTTCAGCATCCCTCCATTTTGTCCCGATGCACACACTGCCAAGCAAATCTTCGAAGCAGTTTATGCTGAGGTCAGAGCTCTTGAACAGAGATTGAACCAAGCAAAAGCCTCCCACCGTGCTGAGATGCACACGCGGGACAAGAACCTCCTCTTCCGTGAGGTAGCCAGGAACCCCGCTGCCCCTGTGGAGACTTTGTTGCACAAGGTACACGCCGAAGTGGAGTCTGTGGACACCAATGAATGTGCCATCATCCTGACACAGCCGGCTGAAGTGCGGCCCACTGATCCATTGTGGATTGCCGGAGCCCAGCATGAAGTCATTTATAGTGACCATGACAAGATCTGGGTTTCCAGTGTTGATGATGTTCAGCCAGGTCACAAGGTAGCCCAAACTCAATATCTTGGAGACTTCCATGATCAATGGAGACAGAGGTGGTGCCGCCATGATAGCACACCTTTCACGCACTGGGCCACCCTGATCGACTTTGCCAAACAGGTGATCAAGCCGTGTCAGATTCCACATCTTCAGGTGACCACGCCAATGCTGTTGGCTGAATTTCACAGAAAGAAAAAGACTGCAGCTACTGGCCTTGATGGCGTGAGCCGCCAAGATTGGATTCTTGCGGATGAGAACACCCTTGAGAGCATGATCTCCGCATTTACCAGAGCGGAACAGGATGGCCAGTGGCCACGCCAACTGCTGGCGGGAAAGGTGCACTCATTGGCCAAAACCGAGTCGGCGTCCACTGTGGGCGACTACCGCCCTATTACAGTGTTTGGATTGGCTTACAGGGCTTGGTCCAGTTTGCACTCCAGGCATTTGCTTGCATGGGCGGAGCAGTGGGTTGACGATAGTGTGTATGGAAACAGACAGGGACGCCAAGCTGCAGACCTGTGGCATCATGTCATGTTGCATGTGAAGAATCGTACAGCACAGGTCAATGCCTTTCAGGTTTGTCAGCCGACATTGAGAAGTGCTTTAATTGCATCCCCAGGTTTCCGGCACTTTGCCTTGCGGTTTTGGTAGGAACACCACATGCTGTCACCACTGCCTGGGCAGGCGCCCTCTCTGACATGTGCCGTCACTTCAAGGTCCAGGACTCCTATTCAGATGGGTTCAGAACCTCCACGGGCCTTGCAGAGGGATGTGGGCTTAGTGTTTATGGCATGTTGTTGGTTGATCACCTTTTTGCATTGTGGATGCGCCACCAGGCCCCGAGCATCCGTACTTTGTCGTATGTTGACGACTGGCAGACATACTCTCAGAGCCCTGCATTTGCCTCTCGCCAACTTGAGTTGGTTGAGCAGTATGCTTCCTTGTGGGATTTGACAGTGGACCGCAAGAAAACTTTTGGGTGGTCCACATGCCCTGAGACCCGCCGGCTCTTGCGTACCCATGGCATCCGGGTTTTGCACCAAGCCAGAGAACTTGGAGGTCACCTTGGAATTTCCAGAAAACACACAAATCATACTGTCACGCAACGCATGTCTGAGTTGGATGATTTATGGACCAAGCTGAAGGCCAGCCGGGCCAGACATCATGCAAAAGTGCATGTACTCAGGGCGGTAGCTTGGCCACGTGGACTTCATGCCATTGCCAGTGCTCCAGTTGGTGACAGTGTTTGGTTGGAACTCAGGAGAAAGGCTACCGGGGCCCTTGGTTGCCATAAGCCTGGGGTCAATGGGAATTTGCTGCTTGGCCTTGTTGAAGCCTTGGTTGACCCTCAATTGGTTGGCCTTTTGTGGACTTGTCGGTCGGTCAGAGCCCAGTGCACTGTGGATTTTTGGGATACTGCCGTTGCGCTTGTGTCTCTTGGGGAATTGGACTTGCCCCCAACTCTCTTGCGTCCATTGTTGCTTGTCGGTTGCGTCAGGTCGGTTTGTCTGTTCAACGCAATGGCATGGTCAGTGATGAGTTTGGGTGTTTCCATCTACATACGATGAATTATGCTGAGGTCGAACAGCGATTGCTTTGGGCTTGGAACCGAGTTGTGGCTCACCAAGTGTCACACAGGAAAGACTTTGCTGGTCTGTGGCAGGTGGACGTCCATGCCACCAGAAAAGCCTTGCATGCTTTGCCTCCTGACGACCAGGCCATGTACCGCCACAGCCTGTCCGGCGGTTTGTATACGGAAAGTTACAAAGCAAAGTGGGCGGATCAGACAGATGCGTGCAAGTGGTGTGGTCAGCCTGACACCCTTCACCACCGTTACTGGACTTGTCCTCAGCATCAGGATCTCCGAGAAACCCATGCCCCTTTGGCCACCGAAGTCTTGGATTCCATTCCCCCAGCTCTTGCCCTCCGTGGGTGGTCGCTGTTCCCACATACATGGCATGCTTGGATCAGTACCCTGGCAACTTTGCCTACCGAACTGCCTGTCCCGGCCATTGGACTTCGGCCAGATTGCTGGAACGACGTGTTCACTGATGGATCCTGCTTGTTTCAGTCCACTCCGATGTACCGTTTGGCTGCCTGGTCTGTTGTCTGTGCCCAGCCCTTCAGTGGTTCTTGGACTCCCGGTGGTTCCACTGTGCTTGGTGCTTCCTTCCTCCCTGGCATTTGCCAAACTGCATACCGTGCTGAGTTGTTTGCTCTGGCTTACACCCTTCACTGTGCTGCCCGTGCGCGTGCCCCTGTCAGGATTTGGTCGGACTGTTTGGGTGTTGTTACCAGGTTTCATCAACTGTTTTGGGGAAGGTCTAGGTTGCCGGTCAACAGATCCAATTCTGATCTCTGGTGCTGGATTTCAACATCTCTTGACACATTGGGACGAGACCGAGTACAGCTCCGCAAGGTGCCGGCGCACAGAGTTCTCAGCAGTGCTCGCTCCAAATTTGAGGCGTGGAAATTCTTTCACAATGCAATGGCAGACAAAGCGGCAAGGCTGTCCAATCAGGCTCGTCCTCCTGATTTTTGGAGGCAATGGGAAGTTCATGCACAGGCTACTCAAGCGGCCACAGTGTTGTACGAGCAGGTCAAGAACCTTCACATCGCAATTGGGAGGCGCAACGTCCGAGGGGGCCACGAACCTGACACAGTTCCTGCTGCCACCCCGAAGGACGCAAGGTGCTTTGTTGGATCCTTTGATATGGGTTTGTGGAGAGGAGAAGCGTTGCCGGAAGTTTCGCGGCTCGATGCATGTGAAACGCGCCATCATTTGGCTGCTTGAAAGGTTGGATCTGAGTCCAGGCGCACCTGTTGAGTGGATATCCTTCACCCAGTTGCACCTGGACTTTCAGATGAGCTGAGGCAACCCAGGACCCCTTCGAATCAATGGCCAATGGGTGGACACTTCATCTCGACCATATTTGGATGCAGAACGGTTTCCAGCGCGGCAGCGGACAAAGTGGTTCAGGCAGTTCCTCAAAGCTTTGTTCAAAGAGGCCAAGATGTCAGTTCATCTTGAACAATGCAAGCCAAAATCTGCGACCCTTCAATCATATCTCCAAGTGATTGCTTTGCCCTGGTGCCCTCGGGCGCTGTTTGAGGTTGAAAACTGGCTGACCACGCATTTGCGTGAACCATGTGTCCGGGCAGCTTCAACTTTGAAAAGCTTGCCGCTGGCAGCTCAGACGAGCTCCATGCGACTGGAACTGGCACAATAGTTGCGCAGTTTGGACATCTAGTGCAGTGACACACCGCGCTCCAATTCTGAGCCGGTATGCAGCTTGAAAACGTGGGAAAACGTGGTGGTTTGGAACATTTTTCATTTTTCCATATATTGGGAATAAACATCCCAACTGACTTTCATATTGTTCAGAGGGGTAGGTATACCACCAACCAGGTATAGATATATCTAGGATATCTACCAAAAACCCGAGTTTTGGAGTTTTTTTAACCAACTTAGCTAGCGAACTGGGGCAGCACCAACAGCACTGGATCATGTTGGATCCATCGCTCCAAAAGTCCGATGAGGAGTCCGCCAAGGAACCTATGCCTAGTGGTTTTTCACTCATGCCAAGAATCCAAGGTGCTGATTTTTTGGGAAGAGAAACCCAGGAAAATCAGGACATCTATATATCTGATTTTAAAAAAAACAGCGCGCAGAATCAGAAACAAGGAATCAGATTTTACCTGAGTGCATCCCTTTTGCCAAAAACACAAAAAAAAACATTTTTGTTGCGATTTTCACCCTTGGGTTGCCGATCACTTCGTGACCACTCCGTTTGGGGTTGTTTAAGGTGTTTTTTCCCTGAGAACTCCACTACTTGGGGAATCTATAGAGAATATTCATGAGTTTGTTTGGTTCCTTAGCCTTAAGCAAATCCACTGGAAAAACTGCATACTTCAGTCAAGGAGTGTTGGGAACTCTCTAAAAATCCATGTTTTTGGGTTAAAATATCTCAATATCCACTAACAAATTCATGGCTTCAGGCTCCATGATGCAATGCTTATCGCTGAGGAAGAGGGTGCCCGCAAAGGTCGACCTGAGAAACTACATGACGACAGTCGCTTGGAGAAGCGCCTGAGGTGGAAGTGCTTAGCAACTGGTGGTTATAACATTGTTGTGATCCATTTATAAAAGGGGATCTCGAAACATGATGCTTGAAATATGCACTAAATGGGGATTTCATGGACTCTAGGTCAATCTTAGGTTATGGGATTATCTACGTTCACCCAGCTAAGAATTTGTGTTTTTTTGCTGGGCATCTAGGATTGGCCATGGTAACGGGAGTGATATGTCATGTAACCCATTTACAAATGAGATACCCTCTGGTTATTTAACATAGCCATGGAAAATCACAATTTTTAATAGGTAAACCATCTATAAATGGACCATTTTCCATGGCTATGTTAAATAGCCAGAGGGTAATTCACTGATCTAAGAGGGACTTGCGATCACCAGGGTTCACCACTTGGGATGACCTGGTCGAAGATCAGTCGCAGACCAACAGCTGCTGCGCCAATGCGGTCTGCGGTGCCTATGAGTACATGGGCAAGCGCGACGCCATGGAAAAAGGCCGTTGGGATTGGACGGTAGCTGCCTCACTCGGTTGAGGCAGCGCGACTCCACTCGACACTTTCTCTAGTCATAGACTGAAGAGCTAGTGAATCACCGGTTGGTGGTTGGTGGTTTTAACCACTATTAACCACTATTAAATGGGAAATTTTCTAGAAATGACAATTTAAATGGAAAATCCAATGAACATCATTTACTGGTTGGTGGTTTGGAACATGAATTTTATGACTTTCCATAATATCTGTAATAATCCTTCCCATTGACTAATATTTTTCAGAGGAGTTGAAACCACCAACCAGATCATGTTGATGTGATTGAATACGGTGTACCCGGTGTACCCACCCGAAATGGCCATTCAATGTGGAAAAATCCAGTGTAATTGAGGGTACACCATTTTCAGACAAACTCATTGGAGTAACATCATACGAAAATGGAAACAGGGAAATCCATGTCGGAGAAAATCGCACTATGAGCAAATATTAAGTCCCAATATAGTCCCAATATGTCCCAAGAGTTATACACCCCGCTGAAACTAACATAGGTGTGGTAAATCCAGAATCTGTGGATTGTTTTCCTAAGGGCGCCCATGGATTTTCCACAGCTAAACGCGCATTACCCCCAGGTGGCTCAGTCTTCGTGGATGACATCTCCCGGCTCTTCATTTACTACGTGGGTCGCAAGAGAGATCAGCAGCTGGATCGAAGCAAAGCGAAGCGAAGCAAAAAAGAAAACGAATCGGTAAACTACCCAGACCATCTCTAGATGATGTTCCTAGGAAGACCATTGTGTTTTTCATGTTTTTTCTTACATACTTTTGTATGTTTACCCTAGGGTATATGCTATTATGGGATATTATGGGACATTATTGGATATTCTGGAAATAGCATTGGAAAATTTCGCACATTATGTGATATGACATTGTGGAAGTATTTTGATCATAAAGCTGGTACATGACCATAAATGGGGTTGAACCAACAAATAAATGTGAGGAAAGCCCCTGCCACGAATGGTGGTTCCATCGTCATTTTGAATTTTTGATAGTGATTAGAGGGGGATTTACCCATGATTTACCCATCAAAAATGGTGGTTTTTCACCAATTTGGGTTGACCCATCTGACCCATGCGGCTATTTGGGTGAAGCTCTCGCAGGGAAATCCTGAGGTATCCTGATTTTGGAGTGTTGGGCTCCAAGCAAAGCTGTCTTTTCCAGGAACAACAGCAATAGCAATAGCAACAACAGCAGCAACAGCAACATCATTTCCTTTATACAGTAACCCCTCCAAAACTATGCAACTTCTGTGGGGTTTCTACCTTCTCCGCCCCTGGACGTTGCGTGCCCGAGCCTAGGCAACTCTTCCGAGAGGTGCCGATCGGAACGGTTCGTGCGGTAGGTGGAACTGGTGATGGAGGTCTTTAGCTGGGAACATCATCTCCCCTCTGGTAAACATAGTAATCATACAAGAAACTATGGAAAATCACCATTTTCTAGCTGGGTAAATCCACTATTTCAATGGCCATGGCTTCTATGTCGCAAACTGTTTGACATTACCAGGTCGGGTAGAATTTTTCGGGATTTGCTACTGCCATGGAGCTGATGACACCGGGCTGGGTAGCCTCTGGTTATGACTAACAGTTCGCCATGGAAAATCCCAACCATAAATGGAGGTTTCTAGCTGGGAAAAACATTGTAACATCTACGGGCCATGGCTTCCATGGCTATGTTAAATCCCTTTGGGATAGATCAACATCCACAAATCCATGCCGTGGGTTACCCGGTTTTGACTCATGCCCATATGGATCCATATGGCTGTTTCACTTTAAAGAAAATGGGAAAACGAAGCTTAGTGTGGCTTCTGCCTGATTTCTTTGGGGGAGCTTTTGTCAAGATGATGGGGTCATTTGCCAGAAGCAGAGAGGTAGATGCTGATTTCGAGATGCACCGGTCACCGGACCTATCTGAACCACCATGACCATGGCGGTCCGCAGTGGGTTTCGTCAGTTTTTTAAGACCAAAAATATGGCCAGCTATGGAACATCATCATGGTTCATAGGTACCTCCATAGCTAGGTGCTGGTTGGTGGTTTGGAACATTTTTTTTTCCATTCAGTTTGGAATAATCATCCCAACTGACTATATAATATTTTTCAGAGGGGTAGGTATACCACCAAGCAGGGTGGAAAATACCAGGGTACAGCCCCCAACATCCAAGATGAAACTCGATGTGCCACTCACCTCGCTTCAGGATACTTCGCAGCTCAGCGAACAACGAGTCGACAGCGTTTGTGAATCGGGTCACGTTGACCCCCAGAAAAGCTAGGGATGTCCTGAATTCTTTCCTTATAGAGGGACACATGTTTTTTGATGCAGATGGAACACGTAACATCACGTAACATCACGTAACTACTATGGAATCTGGCTATGTTTCCATTAGTTTTTACCAGTTCCATTAGCACTGTACCAGTTCCATTATCACTTAATTTCCATTTTTAGTAATGTTGAACTACGTAATTCCTATGGAATTTTGTTATTACTATGGTTGTTACTATGGAATTACGATTTTTTTAAGAAATTCTGTGAACTCCAAAGTCATAGTTTCATAGATTTTCATAGTTATCTATAGTTATTTTCCAGGGTTTCATAGTTGTTATTCCATCCGTACTATGAAAGCCCAGAAAACCACCAGCCGATGGCCAAGGCTGGCGCCACGCGATGAGGGCATGTCTCTGGGAGGTGAGATCTGCACTGGTGCCAGTGATGGAACGTTGGTTTATAAACCACATGAATACTGGTTGGTTATCTATAGTTATCTATAGTTATCTATAGTTATCTATAGTTATCTACAGTTATCTATAGTTATCTATAGTTATCTATAGTTACCCTCTGGTTATTTAACATAGCCATGGTATAGATGGCCCATTTATAGATGGTTTACCTATTAAAAACGGTGATTTTCCATGGCTATGTTAAATAACCAGATGGTATCTATAGTTATCTACAGTTATCTATAGTTATCTATAGTCTATAGTTATCTATTAGCATAATAACCATTAAATTTCTATTATCGTATTTTATAGTTATCTAATATGTTTAACCACATGGCTGTTATCTATAGTTATATAAACCATGGGGGCACCATCCTGTAACACTAGATAGAAAAGTGGCAGAATTCTATGGTTTAGAAACCCTATCAACTAGTTGGTTATATCTACCATAAACCATAGAATTCAGCCACTTATGCTCGGCAACTGAACCCTAGCGAACGGGGGCCCCCATTTGGTAAACTGACAGTTTGCTATGGAAAATATTGGAACATCACCATTTTTCATAGGCAAATCAAAGAACAACATGGCCATTTTCCATAGCTACCAGAGGGTACATTATCTGACTTCTGGACTTGGAAAAATACAATAAACGCTAGCTAATTCGTATAGGGTTTACTTACTGGTGCTTAGTAGGGAATGGATGGGTTGCTGGGGGTTGCTGGGATGATTATTGATAGTTATTGTGGATCATTCCCGAAAATTCCCTGCGTTTAGCACCAGTAAGATGAGGTTTCGGGTTTAGGCTTCAGGGTTGACCATGATGAAGATGAGAAATCAGAGGTAGGAAAATCACTGGAACCAAGGCGGCTCCATGAAGAGCCGTTGCTGGTCCTTTCCCGTGTCTCGTCATGTCCCTATGTATCTGTCCGTCCATCCATTTCTCAATTTATGGATATGCAGTTTTACAGATATTTTTATATAGATATATTTAGATATAAACAGTAGATAGATACATATATAGATAGATAGATAGATAGATAGATATGTTTCTGCCAAATCTCCTTCAACCACCGTTCCAACCGCCTGTTTTCGTTCAGCCGGATGGTTTCGGCTCGCCTTCGTTCGAACAGGCGCCCTAAGCGCACTGGAGATGAAGGGTGCTTGCCTGGAAAAGAATTGGCCCTTCAACATCAGCAAGGCCAGCTGCATCCAGCTACATCCAGCTGCCCCACAGGGCAAGGGATGGCAAGGGCAACAAGTACAGTAGCATTATTAACCAATAGAAGACAACAGTTGGGATATTAATAATTAATAATGGTACATATTCAACATGATTATGATACTTATTGGATATGAACCATAAAAATAAGCCATGAAAAAATATTAACATGACTATCACTTGTTAAGCGTTGTGATTTATATTGATTGATGGATGTTCACCACAATTATTAATGTTATCACTAACCCATGACTGCTACGAACCCATCATTAATGGGTTTCACCATATATCAACCATGATTATTGAGAATTCAGATGTGGGATTCAACATGGTAAAAACAGACCATCCAAAATCGTGTTTTTTTCATGTTTTTGCATGGGGATATAACTGGGAAACTGATATTTTTTAGCAGAGGATATTCATTCGGAAGGGATTAGTTGCAGAATGCGAAAAACATGCAGATGACGGAAATGATCTCAGAATATCACCATGGATATCATATAGTTAAATACAGATGGACCATCTCATAATTGTCAGGCATACAGATGGTGATCATGTGGAAGGTTTGGCTGGCGTTGCCACCAGGATGTTTTTGCGTTCGATTTTTGGGTGTCCCCAGAATTTCCAGGTCTCCTGAAATTTTCGGAGAATTTTTTTTGGGGGGTGGTGCTATGTTTTATAGTTAGATCCCATGAAAAATCCAATGAAAAATCATCATAAATCATTGCTTAAATCCCAGTAAATCCCCAGGATTTCATCCCACACTTTCTGATCCAGCTTCGGCCGGAACATGCCGGAATCCACCAGGTGAATGATACGTCTCTTGGTTGAGACTTTTCACTGCGAAAAAAAAAACCTGGGGTGGTTGATCATTTGCGGTGGTACCATTTCCACGACGCCCTGGGGGGTGCCCCTCGTTTTTGACCCAATTAGTAACCATTAATATCATATATTATTCATCATTAATCACCATTAAACATCATTGATCACCATTGATCGCCATCCTTTAGAAAAATCCAGGCTTGGTCAAATTGATATCGTCAAAAGTTTTTGATCATCTGGTGGATGTGGATGGATGTGGCAGGTCCGACCGGGCAGATCATTTTAGCTGGTTGACCCACCATCAGTTTCCATGTGCTTACCTGCGACTTGATAGAAGCCGGGTGTGCAGCAAGCCTCGGACATTTTGTTCATCCATTTGGGCGAGATTTTTCTTTGATTTATCAATATTGTTTGTGTATGAAGATCATTGTTCTTACGTGTTCTTATTGTAGTGACCCCCCGAGAAGATAGATCAGATAGACAAGTAGAATCCCACCATACCCCACTATAAAACAATTTAACATCAATTTGACATCAATTTAACATGATTATATATATATAGTCCAACTTGTGTGCTATGTGTTATATCATGTTATAAGTTATAGCCAATTGCTATGTCGAGGCCCAGCAATGCATGCTTCAGGGAGGCCATCAGGCGACTCTGGGAAGTTGGAAGTGCTGTTGTTCGAGTTGGTTGGTTACTTAACATAGCCATGGAATATGGATCACTGGTTGGTGGTGACTGGAACCATGGAATTTTATGACTTTCCATTCAGAGGGGTAGGGCTCAACCACCAACCAGCTATGGGTTCCATGGATCATTTAGCTGGTGAATTTATGATGATTTACCGGTGATTTTTCTCATTTTCCCCATGGGAATGTGATCAAGGGAATATTTTTTTGAGGGGGAGGAGGCCCGAACGGGCAAATCCAAATGATTGGGGATTTAACATATTTAACCGTCATTTGCAGGGGTAAAAAACCATCAAACAGATGGGAATACCATTGATAAATGACGGTCGATGAATGATTTGTCGGAGGGGTATGGTACCCTGTAAATATTGGTGATTGTCACAATACATGAAGGAAAACCCGATTAACCAATCAGTGGAATGACTGAGAGTGTTGAACACTGCTCATAAAGCAGTTGGATGAGAACTTACCTTTTTAATTGAAGCACCTGCCATATGAAATATTCAGGATGGGACAGGAATATGATGGGGTAAAAAATGCATATAATGAGGATCCAATGGCATACTGTATAATGCTATATTGATATGGGTGCCTCTTGAGTAGAGGATTTTCTCCCCAAGTGGCCAAGAAAGGGGATACAAGTGATGATTAAGCAGACACACCTGAGAAATTCTGATCATTCAGATTATATCATATGATATCCACCACCTTTTTGGATATTTTTCGGACATCAAAAAGGACCAAGCCTTAAAAAGATCGTAGATGGAAAAATGGGAAAATCTCCACCAGCATCAACTCCAAGAATCTCCCCCAGCCCTTCACTCAGGTATAAGATCGCTGAAAGTCGCAAAGTTCCCGTGGATCTCAGCAGCATGCGTCAGTGTCTGGCTGAAGGACGACCCCCACATTCGATGATTAAACGGGGGCCATGTTCGATGGTGGTTCATAAGCCGTAACATTACCCTCTGGTTATTTAACATAGCCACGGTATAAATGGCCCATTTATAGATGGTTTACCTATTAATAGCATGGTGATTTTCCATGGCTATGTTAAATAACCAGAGGGCAACTGGGGCTGGGGGAAGCTATTGGAACAAATGGCGTTTGGTTGTTCAAAGATGGGTAAAATCTCCATGAAAATCATTGAAAATCCACCAGCCAAATTTACAAGACGATGATGGTCCTTTTTGCTTCGAACTGAACCACGGAATCTCCCAGCCATGGTGAACTTCCACCGGTGACGGACCGGTGACGGCAGGACATCCCATCGTCTTCGGCTTGAAGCTGACAGCACAGTTCTTTAAGCCATCGCCAGGTGGGGGACCTGCCTGTGACTCAGTTTGACCCAAGAATAACTGGAGACATCCGGAAAGGTGGGGAAAGCCCACATTTTTGTTGGTTTATAAACCATAGAAGGTATAGATATCTTATAGATATTTTTTTAGCTGGTTGGTGGTTTCAAAGATGAATTTTATGACTTTCCATTCAGTTGGGAATGGAATAATCAGCCCAACTGACGAACTCGTATTTTTCAGAGGGGTAGGTCAACCACCAACCAGATAACATTGATCATAAATGATACTGCAATGATATCATGATAACATATAATAACAAGAATTCATCATAATAATACCTGCAGATATCTTCAGATACGGCAATTTAATATGGCAAGTTATCTCTTTCGATGTGAACATATGGCATCGATACTCATTGCCATTCATCACGGAAGCCGCCAGCCAAACAGCTCACGCTACAAGAATCAGGTCGTCAGTGGCGTAAAGTTCCTGCAACTCTGTGATAATCTTTTGATATCTGTTCTATATGGATTTCTCACCAAATCAACATGTACAATATGGGATTTTCGGCAGAATAAGCCTTTGAACCTTTGAAAATCCATGGCATCTTGGGCCCACCATGTGAAAAATGGTTTCCCTTGTTGTTCGAGTTGTGCACTGGTTTAAGTCAGATGCTCTCGGTGTGACGACGTTACGACGTTCGATCAAAGCGTGTGATTTTTTCACAGGGATAACCCATTGGGACAGGCTCAGGGGATGGAAATGGATCATAAAATATGCAATTACCCTGGAGTGAATTTATTAAGATACCCGCTGGTGATTTGTTACATAGCTTTTGAAAATCACCATTTATAGTTGATTTTCCCATTACAAATTGTGATTTTCCATAGTTATGTTAGTTGGTAGTTTACCAGAATGGTAGATGTTGACAACGTCGACGCAAACGGGTGCTTTTCCGAACGTGATCTGCTCAAATTGTGGGTTTTTCACCTATGTTGATTTACAAACAGGTACTGGAAGCTGACTAGCTGGTTGACCATGTTCGATACGTTCGATTTAAGCTTGGTGGGTCATAGGTGCCCCTCGATGCACATCAACAGACATCAACCTTGGGACCTACGGAAGTCTCAATACTGAGTATTGATTTCTCATATGTTGGCATATGTCACCATAAAGTTCCTCAGAGTTCTCAAGATTTCTCAAATCCTTCCGGATTTCTCAAGATTTTTCAAGATTTCCAAGGTTAGTTTCTTGAAATTTCTCAAATATCCATCATTTTCCCATGGTAAGTCTGCTCACCGAAGGTGGCGGCATAGTGACTCCGGATGTGGATGATCCTCAGTCAGCGGAGCATGGACCGGATTCGGATGGGGAAAGCCTGGACGGGATCATACAGAAAGCTTGCCGGTGGGAAAATGATCTAGAGATTAATGAGTAATGACTGGTTAATGATGGTTAATGATGGTTAATGATGGTTAATAACTACTGGTATCTAGATTACCCTCTGGTAAACTAACATAGCTATTGAAAATGGTCATTTATAGTGGATTTTCCCATTAAAAATTGTGATTTTCTATAGCTATGTTAAATTACCAGAGGGTACCCTCTGGTAAATAAACAGTTTGACCCTGAAAATCACCCATTTTTAATGGAAACTAGTCTTCCAACCCCGATGACTGCCAGGGTCTATGTTAGTTTACCAGAGGGTAATGATTAATGACTGGTTGGTGGTTTGGAACATGAATTTTATGACTTCCCATTTGGTTGGGAATGTCATCATCCCAACTGACGAACTCGTATTTTTCAAAGGGGTAGGTCAACCACCAACCAGTCTAGACTAATGATTCTTGGTTATTAATGGTGGATCATTATTATGGCTATCAGGCTTATTAAAAATCACCACCATTAAAAATAACCATTCATGGAAATTCATGGTGGTGATTAATGGTTATTACAGTGGGGAAATCATTTGTCAATAGAGATTTTCATAATTATGAAATTAGTGATGAATTTGGATCTACCCTGGCGTAAACATGCAAAAAGTGGAAAACCAACGGTGTCTCGTTCGGAAAAGGATCCACAAATCGCTTAGAAACATGGTGCCTTAATCATGCTTAATCCACGAAATATCAGTTCAAGTATCGAAAATAGTGGTATAAATCATCCAGAAATACATGGACAATACTGTGACCAGGACTTGAATAACTGGGTTTTTAGCGTGGGTCGCCAGGACTTCATGCCATGCTCATTGTGGGCTACAACGATCGCCAGGAGGCGCGCGCCGGTTCCGATGATTTTTTGGAAAGGGCCTTCTTGAAAAGGATACGGACAGTGTCCATATGGCTTTTGTAAAATGGTGCAAGCTTCTAAATTTTGACTTATAGAAGTTGGATTTTGACTTATGGTGTAAAATGGGGTGTAAACTTCTATAAGTCATAAAGTCTAAATCCAATCTAAATCCATTTTGACTTGTTTTTCTGGTGTAAACTTCTAATTTTTGGTTTATATTATGTGGTTTTGCCAAGCTGGTGAATAAGCCATGAATCCTGGCAGCTGTCCTCAGTCATAGCACCAGGAGGCTATGAATCAATATGGAGCCGGGCACCACAAGGCTACTGTATCCTAAGTTATAGCTGGATGATGCTGGATGTGTCTTCCCCAAAATATGCTAATTTCATAGGTTTTAACCTGTTTTAACCCATCCCCCCAAAAATGTTATCTAGACTCTAGACCTATATCATGACTTATCATGATATATCTATATGTCTCCCTACCTCAACCCTGAACATGGCATCCAAATAGTGAGTTTTTGGGCCTAAAACTCAGCATCCACAACTGGTTGTTGGTTTCATTGTTCATCCTACCTGCGGATGATGATCACAATCATACCTTAGTCATCCTATTGTTTTATATATATGCTTGATGGTTAAAACATGTTAAAACCATATGTTTTATGTATCTTTGATGGTTATACCATACCAAAAATAGTTATCCTATTGTCGTTTTCATGGTCACTGCTTCGCATCTCCGAGGTCTTCATTGTCCGCAACAGCTGGGGCACTTCCTGGGGAGATAAAGGCTATGGCTATGCGCCTTGGATGGGGGATGTCACGGGGGATCCCCAGAAACGGTTGGTTTCCAATGGAAAATCCTGTTTCTTGGGTACCCCCATTTCAGGAAACCTCCATATGAGGATAGGATGATCGTGTTTATTCTAAGATGATCATTCTAATATATGATCGGGGATATCTTTATTTAGCTTCAATATTTTTATCTTAGAGGATGATATTATAATGATCGGATATTTAAGAACCATAAAGAAAGCACATATGGTTAGAACCCAACCAGAACAGGGTTGTTGGCAAGGTCCACCATAAATTCTGAATGAGTTATTTTGTGTTTTGGTATAACCAGGAATTGGTGGCGGGGAAGTCAAAAGAGTATATGCGTTAGCCCACTATTCATTAGGAAATTCCAATTATATATATATTATATATTTGGTTGGTGGTTTCAAACATGTTTTTTTCCATAATATATGGGATAATCCTTCCCATTGACTTTCATATTTTTCAACATGGTTGAAACCACCAACCAGATATAGATGAAGATGTTGCAGCAAGAACAATGAGGACAAAACCACTCGAATTCTGCATCGTGGAGTTTGTGGGTGAGACCTTTCACCTCTCTAGAAATATATATACCCTCTGGTAAACGTTTACAGTTTGCTATTGAAAATGGCCCAGTCGAAATAGTGGATTTTCCCAGCTATAAAATGGTGATTTTCCATAGTTTTTTGTATGTTTACCACAGGGTATATATATATATATGTATATGTATATGTATATATATATATACATACATATATAAGAAGATTCATTCCTAGACATTCTATGGGGAAATCTGCTGCCAGATTTAAAACCCGGGACTTGCTGGGTAGAAAATCGCCACGTGTTTGGCTGATGAATTTTGACTTGGTGGCCCTTGTGGTAGGCAGATTGCTTTGGTGGTCCATTGCATGGGGAGTTAGCATTGCAACAATCCGATCCAATCAGAACATCCTGCAGTTGGACAGATGCCATGGATGATGTGGGACGGATATGCCATGCTTACGAACTCCGTAACCGTAGGTAAGTCGCTAGGACGAACATCTCAATTGTGGAAGACCCTTACCCTCTGGTTATGACTAACATAGCCATGGTATAGATGGCCCATGGAAATAGATGATTTTCCCAGCTAGAAACCTCCATCTATGGTTGGGATTTTCCATGGCTATGTTAGATAACCAGATGGTAATTACCCTCTGGTAAACATACAAAAAACTATAGAAAATCAGCATTTTGAATAGGTAAATCAAGTATAAGTGGGGTGTTTTCAATAGCTATGTTAATCATAACCAGATGGTAATCACAATTAAATCACCATTAATCATGGATTCATCACCATTAAATCACCATTTTCCTATGGTTTTCATTGGGTTAGTCATAACCAGGTTGGGTAGTTCAGGCTGGCGCACCCCGGATTCACCCAGTGCAGAGTGGAAACCTGGTACCCCATAGTTGGCTGACCGGGGTTGTAACCCGGTGAAGTAGGGTTTATGGTAGATATATCATATATATATATATATCATGATAAAATATGTATGTATATATATTTATATTTATATTTATATTTATTTATTTGTTCATTTATTTATTCATTTGGTCAACATTGTAAACCATGACCGCACTTTTTTCTCCCAAAACTCGGTGCCCCCCCAAGTCGTGGCTTTGTCAAACACTGCATCGAGGTGCCTTACGACTACATTTGCAACGACGACTTTAACTTCCTCGGGAACCTCGGCAGTCGTTGGCAAAAGGAGCTTCCAAGGTTTTGGTGGTTTGACAAAGGGGGCAGGGGCTTACCTTTTTGCCATATCGTACTTGATATATATATACATATATGTATATATACAGTATATATCATTATATATATATACATATGATTATATTATATAATACATATATATACATATATATAATATTATATAGATGCACATGACAGCTTGAACTTTATATTGTAATTGGTGTTCATGGTCGAAAATGGACGGTGGATCATGGTGGCGACATGTGTCCACTGTCCGCAATCTGGTTTTAAGATAGCTACCAAATGGTGTCCAATCAACGCAACTACGAGTATGGTTTAAAAAGTTTATGTTATCTCTATGCTATCGGATCTTAATGCAGGTTTAGAAACCGTTGCGAACACTGGTTGGTGGTTTGGGACATGGCTTTTATGACTTTCCATTCAATTGGGAATGTCATCATCCCAACTGACGAACTCATATTTTTTAGAGGGGTAGATCAACCACCAACCAGATTATTATTAACCATTTAATAACCATATGATAACCATATATTAACCAACGAACGTCATTGCTGTGCCCTTGAAAGTGACCACCTTGATGGTCTGCCACGGCGCCGCGATGGTCCAACTGGGCCCTTTTGACCGGAAACCATGGGTTTTGACCATTAGAAATATTAGAAATATACGGGGGGTAACCGGAAACCATGGCTTTTACCATGGTCTTGACCATTAAAAAAAAGGGGGGTTCCGGTTCAGATTTTCCAAAACGAATCCATCCAACTGGTGATTCCATTGCACCCCTCTGATTCGGTGGACCTTCACTGAATTTCTGTCCGCTCCAGGCAGTACGCCATCATCGGTCTGAGCCAGTATGCATCTTGTCCGAAAAATGGGCCCAGATTTTTTGCTGACAGACTTGGTTCTATCGAAAAATGTTGACCTATACCATCCCTGGTTGGTGGTTTGGAACATTGTTTTTTCCATATATTGGGGATAATCATCCCAACTGACGAACTCATTTTTCGGAGGGGTAGGTCAACCACCAACCAGCCATCAACTGTAGCCCAAATGCCCAAGATCTCCGGCCGCGAATCCAAGGATTTTTCCAGGAATGTGGATGATGGACAAGACTATCAAATTGGCGATGCAGATGCCTCTTGGTGAGACGGATTGGTTTTCACGGGAGAATCTTCACCGGAAACCATCGATGTTCCCATGAAATATGGGGTTTAAACCAGTAAATTTTCCCTTAAACCAATCCATTGATCTTGGTGAGACGGAACGCAACGGAACACCCTGGAGTGGTGGTGAAGTTCACATGCTATGACCCACTTACCCACTTGTTTGATTGGATATCTCCAGTGGTTTTTTGGGGGTGTGCCTGAAATACCTCACCCCAAATACCCATGTGATGGGGAAAATGAATGAAAATCATGACATTTTCACACAAACCCACATGGTGTTTAAATTTTGTAATCCACTCACTTACTGTACTAGGATGCAGGTGCAAGTATTAGTCATTAGATAAACATGCGCCATTTGCCAAAACTCATATTTCGTTAGTTGCAACTCGTAGAAATAACCAATATTGTTGGTGTTTGCCCAAGCCCATCATCACAGATTGTTGTCGCCACTTTTGAAGGCCGCTGAAAAACCACGTGATGAAAATGCTCGACTGGTTAGACTGGATTTCATAGGTGCTTCATTTTTTTGTTGCTTCTTTCATTGGATTGGTTTAAGGGAAAATCTTCACCGGAAACCATGGTTTTTACCATTAAATATAGGGGTTTCCCGTTCATTTTTTCCCGTGAAAACCAATCCAATGATTCTTAACAGCCCATTGTGTGGTGACGACTTGGGGGCCCCAGTCTTAGGACACTGGGGGATGTGTGCCATGGCTTTCTCTGAGGATGATCAGCCAGAACTCGAAGAGATTGAAGATGACCCGCAGGACGACGCAGACGAAAAGTCATTAATGTCAACCCTGGATTAATAAACCCCTAGGTCCTAGGTTGTTTAATTGGGAGGATACCATTTAAGTATCAGATTATGACTATTTGGGGAGTACCCCCCCAATTAATAAACCATGGTTTATTAATCCGGGGTTGACATTACTTAAAAAGTGGAACTTTATTTTGGGGAAGCTGTTTTTTGCGGTGCAAACTGTGAAAACTGTACAAACTGCTGGTTTAGAAAATGCGTTCCAACAAAAATGTTGCAGATTTGCAGGTTGATATGTGTTACTCGTATGTATTATTTGTTCACCAGAGATATGTAGAGATATACTGCAGAAAAGGCCCCCCCACGATATAAGTTGGTTTATGTCACCCAATCCAACTAGGTCGATATGTTTGCCTATAAATCCATTTACTTAGGCATAAACTGGCAGGAATCTACGGTTCGGGGTCCCATTCCTGTGGTGATCTTCAAGCCAAAATGGCCACCATTTCTTTTGGGTGAGATCCGAAGAAACGCAAGGAATGTCAGCAATCAGAAACTAAGTCAGATGTTTCACTGAGTTTTCCCGTGTCCTTACATTTTTTGCGCCAAAAAAAAAAATAGAATTCTAAGAGGTGAAATCCCGATGTTTGTTGGGTAAAGCTTCACTGGATTTTACAGGTGCAATCCCCCCTTGTTCTAAATCCATCATGGAGCCGCAGGATGATGTGGAAGATGAGTTCGATCCTGAGGATGAGTTCAACCCAGAAAAGGCGGACGGGCGAAGTGGGGCCAACTGGGACCCTGAGTTTGCCACTGACTTGAGAAGTTGCTAGCCTTAACTGAGCAGAAAAAAGGACAAAAAACACCTATTCAACTGGAAGGGAGCACGACTTTGGGGCATTGGGAATCATGTAATCCTTTTGCAGGGGTATTCGGAATCGGATTGATGATGGGAACGAAGTCGCGCCCGTGGAAGTATCAGAAGTGTTTTTGTTTAGCTCGGAATGGAGTTGACTTTTCTTCCAACGTGCGGATGGACTCGCTCAATCCTTTGCGGCCCTGCTAGTCCAGGATGTATCCTGGCATGAGCAGATTTCCTTGCATATTCACATCGTTTTTCAGGGCGTTTTGGTGGTCTTTTAGGATGGCAGATTGTAGCGATGAAAAGTCTGTCAGAATGTCACCAAACGAAGTCAATGGACATGTGGATTTCAAAAAACAAGAGGTGCTAGAGCGTAGAATGTTTAGGTGATCATGCATGCCATCAAAGCTTGGACAAGGCTAGCTTATCTTTGCCAGAGGATGCTCAAGACCAATTTCCAGCACCATTGTGAGTGTGCTTTCATGTATATTAATTTATCCACATACAAATGCAAATATAATATACCATAATATACCTCAACAATCACACGCACGTGCGCATGTAATCTTGGCCAGTAGAAGGATCCGTCCGAACCGAAGCTCCAACGTCCATGTGTGATAGACGGCCTTTATTGATACCCTTTCGAACGTGACACGTGTACTCTGGAATACTCTTTCGACAGTAGGCTATGGATCATAATATCCACTTAAAGTTAGATTCCAAACACACCTGACGGTCACTTGACACCTAGTGATGCTTCACAAAAAAGCTACTTCCCCTATTTTTCTTCCATGATTTTCCCCCAGTGATCCTCTTCAAACCTCCATCTCCCCCATCGTCCAACTTCGCAGCGTAGGAAGCGCGTCGTGTCTTTGAAACCTACGACATCAACAACGATGGCGCCTTGGCGGGGCACGAGCTCTTCATGTGCTTCATGGGCAACGGCGTGCCGATGCTCGGAACTGATCGCTGGATAGCTGGATAGCCGACAGCGGAGCGGGTGGAGCGGAGCCGTAGATTTGGGCATCTGAAACGGCAAAAATGTTGGGATTTGAGCAGGAGAAATGATGATTTCACCAAGAGAGTTATCGTGGTTTAACATGGTTTAACATGTAGATTTGACTGTGAAATTCATGCGGAACTAACATGAATTAACCATAAAGAATGGGAAGTTAGCCGGCAAATCCATTGATTGATGTGGATTACCAGCAAAATCAACAATTTAGGCGCATTCAATAGTGATAAACGACAATGGTAAATTCCCAAGAAGAGATGGAAGCTTGCTATTGTTTTTGGATAAGGTCAGCTATATAGTCCAATTATGTCAAATTTCTTTATGGGTATATTTAATTATATTTAGCATTATTTAGCAGTCAGTCATGATCATCCATATTATTTTCAGATGGTGATCAGGGATGGAAGACCATCAAAACCACCATCGTCCACGCTTGGGAGTGCCGTTGAGGTTAGTTCTTCATGGGTATAGCCATGGTAATAACATCCATAAGTTTGGATATAAGCCCTTCACATATTATTATATAATATTATATAAATATGATCACGTATCCACTTATAACTGGAACTGCACCCCCAAGTGGTCACACTTGTTTTGTGCATTAGATTTTGCGGCTCATGATATTGGTAGTGAATGTCGGAGTAGGAGATGGACAAAAGGGAATCGAAGACAGAAAAAACCATGATGGAACCATGTTACTGTGGATCATCGGCGTGATCCCAGAAATGTTGCCCTTGGCTTTGGCCAGTTTTTGCATTTTACCTTAAGTGTGAGAAAAGCTTAAACAATTAGATCATCTTAAGATGGTGCCATCTGGTAGCTCTCCTCTATTTGACCAGAATATCATCCATGAGGTTACCACCCAATATCATCTATTTGACCTTCTGGGTGGCATTTGCTGTGAAGATGCCATCCTCTATCCTCGGTTCACCCGGTTCACCACATACCAGGATGTCAGGGGCTGATCATCGCTGATCGGCTGAGGATGACCATGAAGCAGTTCCAGAAGATCAGCAGAGACCACCGCCTGGACCAGGGGGAGAAGATGGACTTCGATCAGTTCCTCGTTTTTTTTGGAATGAGATGGGGCTGGAAAGAAGTGGAAAAAAATCTTGGGAATTCTGAGAAATGCATCCAAATGAACTGATATGAACATATATGTATATGAACTGATTTTATGCCGACTTTGGGGATTTCCATGGATTTCCCAGCCATGAAACTTGATTTCCAGAGGGTACAGTACGGTAAAATATCAAGTGTTGTTCTGTAATTGGGATCCTCTCCGGCAATGTGGCGAGCTGGAAAATCCACGAAAATCCCCCATTTACTTCGAGGATTTTAAAGGGCTGGCGGAGATTAGGGTAGCCCAGGAATGGTAAGACGCATTCTTATGAGCATTTACCCTCTGGTTATGTCAAAATAGCTATTGAAAATGGCCATTTATAGTGGATTTACCCATTAAAAATGGTGATTTTCCATAGCAATGTTAGTTTACCAGAGGGTATTAGCCATGATTATGATTGCCATTTATGTATCGGATAGCCATGGATAAAGACGGTCTCGTCCCAATCACCTTCAAATCCAGAAAACATCGCTTCTTTGTGCTTTTACCGCGGATCACCAAGAAACAGTACCCTCTGGTAAACATACAAAAAGCTATTGAAAATGGCCCAGTCGAAAGAGTTGATTTACCCAGCTATAAAATGGTGATTTTCCATCGTTTTTTGTATGTTTACCAGGTCGGGTACTTTGGTCTTGGATGTCAGGACTTGGTTTGAGCTGTTGCTGCATGTTTAACCGGATTTTTGGGGATTCGTGGGGATCGGCAAAAATTGTGATTTGCAGCGCCTGAAGTGTCCAGGAAAACAGCAAAATCCTCCCCAAAAACACAAATAGCTCAGCGCAAATTCTCCAGAAATCCTGCAATCTCTGAGTTGTGAAACGGGTCGTTTTCGGTCTTTAAGTTCTGAAACGTCCCTACGTGAAACGTTACGGTGCAGAAGTGCAGAAATTATGTCATCATCCTGCTGGTTTTGTCCGAAGTTTTGGGACGTGTACCGCTCCTTGCAGGTGCCTCCAGTGGTAGTTAAATCCATCGAAATCGCCCAGGTTTTTCGCTGAAAAAGCCATGACAAAGCCATGGAAAATGGGGGATGCTAGGATCCGGCATCCTGGGATGTTTGGGATTCTTGGGATCATGGAGTCCTAAAAAAAAAAACGATGTTTTTTTCTCCAGAAGTCTCGGAGTCTCCAAGATAAAGATGTAAACCATGATGGATGTATTGGGGAACTTGTGTTTTGGTATGTGGTTAATGTTAATGCCGTATCTCTAATTGATATCACCATTTTGTTGCGGCCCATTTGGTATGGATTTGTTCAAAATAATACATCAGCGGGGTTGAGAAGAACTGTTCCGCAGCTGCTCTAATTTTTCTAGTGGCCCCTAAGTCCCGCAAAAACAACACAGTTGGAGGTCAAAAACATGTTGCTTGACAAGAAAGATAATAATTCGGAACTTGAAAACAGAAGGAAAGTCCCTGCTGATGTCGGGTACCCTCTGGTAATTTAACATAGCTATTGAAAATGGCCAGTTATAGTGGATTTACCCATTAAAAATTGTGATTTTCCATAGCTATGTTAAATTACCAGAGGGTAAATCTTCATTTTGGTTTGGGTAAATGCCCCGATGTTTGGCTTGTTCGGTTCCCATCAATTCCCATCAATTTGGCTTCAAATATGTTCGGACTTATTGGATTCGTAACATATTAGGATCCATATGGTACCAGTCTCCCAGAAGCCACGCTTACTGTATATGAATATGGCTTGTTCAATATAATATGCATTCGTTTTTTTAGGGGGGGACTAGGGAGCAGACAGGGATAAAGTGGCACTTGCTGGGCGCCTTCAGGTAGGAAGTTGTTAATAGCCTATATATCAATTGTGCGGGGTATATCAATATACAACTAGGTTACTTTTCATTTTCATTACACACTTGCAAGTGGAATGCACGCCCAGGTAAGACCCAGTCAGTAAATGGGCTACTTCATATCCATATCATATACTGTGTATATATATATACACATTAGATATTATTAGATTTTAGTAGTATCATTTGAATCATTAGTTGATTATATATGCCCAAGTGTTTCCAGATAAACCCCACATAAATCCCAAAAAAATGTGGGTTAAACCATTCCCATTCCCCCAATCACCATGTTTATAGGTGGGATTTCAACCATTCCCAGTGAGTGGTCCAGGCCCATAAGGGGGCCACCAGATCTTTCTGGTGCTGGGTGTGGGCACTCAGCGACGCCTCGGTGATGACAAGGATTTATATCTGGATCTACCTGGGTTACCCTCTGGTAATTTAACATAGCTATGGAAAATGACCATTTTTAATGGGTAAATCCACTATAAATGGCCATGTTCAATAGCTATGTTAGTTTACCAGAGGGTATATGAATGGGAAACGGTTTTCAACCAACTAGGGTACCCTCTGGTAATTTAACGGTTTGCTATTGAAAATGGCCATAGAAATAGTGGATTTTCCCATGAAAAATGGTGATTTTCAATAGCTATGTAACAAATTACCAGAGGGTAATGATGAAAGTTTGGTTTCACGGGTTCACCAAGCCAAATGAGAGAGAGATATATATATATATAGGTAGTGAACAAGAGTAAGTCCGATGACGACGAGAGAGAGAAAGAAATAGAGAGAAACCAGACAAAGGGTGACTTGAAATCCAATCATTATACCATTATGATCAATGATAATATATGATAATATATGATATATCCCACCCTTAAGCAAGATTTTATGGTGAGTCAGTCGGCAAAACAAGATTTTTTCATGGATGTCCCGCTTGCGGAGAGTGGATACCTCCAAGGGATACCCCGTGTCGTAATGCAGTAATTCATATGGTGCTCGTGTCGGGACTACCCTCTGGTAATTTAACATAGCTATTAAAAATTGTGATTTATAGTGGATTGTCCCATTGAAAATAGTGATTTTCCATAGTTATGTTAGTTTACCAGAGGGTACACATTTGCCCAAACCTTCAATGGAAAAACAGAAACGTACGTGTGAAATTTCAAATTTCTTACTTGTTTTGGCACATTTTTAAACTGTCAACTGCCAACTGTCTTGGAAATAGTGAAATGTCAAGTCAGATATCACTGATATCACCATTTGGCTCATCCCAGTAGTTCACCCCAGTGAATTATATGACGCCCCGACATTGCCGTTGGGGTGAACTATATACACCCATTTTCGATTCCGATGAGCCACCAAAGTCAACAGAAAAATCTTCTTGGCTGCCCATTGTATCATATTGTATCCCAGTTTTCCCGATTCAAGCAAAATTCTCCAATTTTGGACCTGGGTTTGCTTCTCCTATGTGGTTTACCCTCTGGTAAACAAACAGTTTGCTATTGAAAATGGCCCAGTCGAAATAGTTGATTTATCCATTAAAAATGGTGATTTGTCCATAGTTATGTTAGTTTACCAGAGGGTAAATCACCATTAATCACTATTACATCTCATTAAAACCCATTAAATCACCATTCATTTTTGCGGCATCAGCCCACTTACCACTGCCGTTCGGATGGTGCGCTGGTTTCCGCGCGATTTTTCCGCCAGGATTGAGGCGACCGGAAGGACCGGAAGGAGCAGAAGGACCGGAAGGATATTTGTGGCTAACAACGCCTCTGAAATGGGATAAAATGAGATTATCTTGGAAGAATCTCTAATTCTATTCCATCAATATCATATATATACATATATTTGATTATCATTTTATATATATATATATATGTGTGTGTGTCATTATATATATATATATACGTGATTATTGATATCTTTCTCACGGTTGTTTTGCGGCATTTGTTAATCTATCTACAATATTTATTTGTCTAGTTGTTTGTTGTGTGTTCATTTCATTCTTGTTTGGCCCAAACTACAAAACTACAGTGTCACAGGATAGTTTGAGGATAGGCTGAACATGTCTTGGAGATTGTGCCGTTGTTTGATGTTTTACCTAACTTTCTCCACTCATAAACGCCTGGATCTCATGTTTTTATGCTTCTTGCAGGGGGGCTCTTCAGGGTGAAGCAAGGGAGTGGAACACGACTTTGTTTGGAAGTTTACCCTTTGGTAAACATACAAAAAACTGATGGGAAAATCGTCATTTTATAGCTGGGTAAATCCACTATTTCAATGGCCATTTTCTATGTCTCAAACTGTAAACGTTTACCAGAGGGTATCCTATTGGAACATGATCATTTTCGGATGTCCGCTTCCATCATCATCCTTCCATTTCAGGAGGGCGAGAAAATGTTGGAGATGCAATGAGCGGCGTCAAGGAGTGTTCCAGATGATATCCATGATGAAACCATGATAAAACCATGACGGATACATTTGGGATCTGTTTTTGGTTGATAGCAATCTAAGCTTGCAAAGAAGCTAAGACAATCTATAGAAACCCGACTTCAAAACCAGCTTGGATACAAGATGTTGTTTTGTTGCAATGGCTACCAAAATTCAACCAGTTACCAGTTCTTGGTTGAAGGGAACATCTACAGGAAGCCCCTATATTTCACAAAAATGTTTTCAACCGTACATTTTTCCCGAGCTCAACCGTTGAACCAAACGAAGGGGGTGTTCCGTTCCGTTTCTAGTTCCGTTGAAGCGGAGAACAGCGCAGCAGAATCCTTTGGCCACCGCGGTTTGCTGGGGGTTTGGGTTTCCAATAAACGATCCCAATGGAGTAGACACCCTTTAGCAACCAAACATACAGGATGGGCCCCCCCAGTTATAAGTTGGTTTATAAACCATTATAATCCCCATTAACTATAGTTATATCTACCATAAACCATTGTTAAGCCACTTATAAACCAACTTAGCTATCTTGGGGGCCCCACCCTGTAGGATGTTCAGTGTTTTAATTGGGAAATCCTTTGAAAATATGGGGGATGTACCATTGCCATGTTTGAATACCAGAGGCAAATTGGGTAGATGGAAATTTCAGTGTGTTGTACCAATGTCCTTTTCCAATGGTCATCGGCATGCTACAGCAAACTGCTTTTTCAAAGTATCTTGGGGAGAATTTCGGTTGGTATGTTTACCCCATTCAGGATTTTGGCAGCTGAAGGGAAAATGAGGTAAACATAGGTACCCTCTGGTAATTTAACATAGCTATTGAAAATAGCCATTTATAGTTGATTTTCCCATGAAAAATGGTGGATCTTTCCATAGTTATGTTAGTTTGCCAGAGGGTAAACCAAGCGAATTTTAAGGGCTGTTTGAGACCATGACAAAGCCAGGTCTCGAATGTCGCCATGCTAAAACTGGCTCCGCCTTGGATGGGCAACCAAATTTCCTAAGATGTTTGGCTGCAAAAATGGGAAGATGGATGGTAATCAGCTAAGAAAATTGGCATAGAATGGCATAGATTGGCCATGAACATCAAGATGTTGCGGCATAAAGTTGGATGAAAGTATAGCATAATATAGCAAAACACCGCGGAGATTAAAGGATCCTGGTATGTTGTACCAATGTCCTTTTCCAATGGTCATCGGCATGCTACAGCAAACTGCTTTTTCAAAGTATCTTGGGGAGAATTTCGGTTGGTATGTTTACCCCATTCAGGATTTTGGCAGCTGAAGGGAAAATGAGGTAAACATAGGTACCCTCTGGTAATTTAACATAGCTATTGAAAATAGCCATTTATAGTTGATTTTCCCATGAAAAATGGTGGATCTTTCCATAGTTATGTTAGTTTGCCAGAGGGTAAACCAAGCGAATTTTAAGGGCTGTTTGAGACCATGACAAAGCCAGGTCTCGAATGTCGCCATGCTAAAACTGGCTCCGCCTTGGATGGGCAACCAAATTTCCTAAGATGTTTGGCTGCAAAAATGGGAAGATGGATGGTAATCAGCTAAGAAAATTGGCATAGAATGGCATAGATTGGCCATGAACATCAAGATGTTGCGGCATAAAGTTGGATGAAAGTATAGCATAATATAGCAAAACACCGCGGAGATTAAAGGATCCTGGTATCTTTTGGAGCAGGGACGCCTGTGCACCCTGCACGACTCCCTGTATATACGACGACGTCAGTCGATGGTCTATTGCTTGGAGATAGCAATCGCTTGCAGAAAAGTGATGAAAAGTGAGGGGCAGGACTGATTCGCGGAAGCTTTGTTACCTCTAAAGATTACTAACGAATGGGGTTCAATCTGTGTGGCAGGGTGT